TTTTGTCGGGCACACTTGTGCAACTTATGTTATACTTATGTCCAACTTAATGTTCCTATGTTTTTCGATGAAAGCATGTCCACACTTTCCAATTTTTGGTTTCGCAACCATGATTTTTTGGCGTGCGCAGCAAAACACGATCTTCGACATATCTGGAAGCCGTTGTTGCTTATATAGAGGAGTTTAGCGGTATATTATAGGCCATGGAAGGCGATGCAGGTGCAGGTGGTGGTCCTACTCGCCGTGCGGCGAATCAGGACTACAACATGCTGTACACGTATCTGACTCAGTCACTCTGGGTGATGCTTCGCAGCGCCGAAAATTTCGCCGTTCGTAGCGATGCTCTTTTTCGGCATGCGTTTGCCCTGGGACTGCGTCATCCCAGCGAGAGCAGCATGGGAGCGATGACGGCGCTGTTGTCTTTGAGCGGCGAAGGCCTGAACACCTTCCAGTCACACATGCTGTTGCAATCGGTGAAAAATGCTTGGAAAAACTTTTCACGACGCATGAGAAGCGCCCCCCCCGCTGCATTCGAAGAGACCGTCCCTTCGATCTTGCAAAATGAGACGCAGCAGGCCCTGCAGGCTAGGGTATCGGAGGCCTTGGTACCAAGTATACTCACTCAACAAGAAATGACTGGCCGCATCGCAAACATTCCGCTTCGCCGCAGCAACACGGCATCTGGAGCCCAGAAAACCAACGCCCCCGACCCAGCAGCAGCCACCATGATGACCGTTTTGTCTTCCGCTGTTGCCATGATGGCACAGGGGTGTGCAAATCCCGGGAGGGCTGGGAGAGCGGAGCCTCAAATACAGACTTTGCAGCAGCCGCACGGTGCTCCAGCGACGCGGCAGGCATTGGCGATGTCCGGTAATACTGGGGCTGCAGCACCGCAGCCACCGCAGCCTTTGCTAGCACTTCTGGATGCCCTGCCAAATGCCCCGGCACCGTCATCGCAGCCTTTGCCTGCAGTTCTGGATGCCACGCAAGCTGCTCCGCAGACAGTGCCACCAGCAGCACAGCCTCTTCCTGCGCTGCTGGATGCCTCTGCAGGTGTTCAGCAGATGCCTCCAGCGCCGCAAGAACCGCAAGCCTTGACAACGGCAGCGGCGGAGGAATCGCCGAAGGACCCTTCTCCAGGGGAGCAGATGCGTGCAAACTTGGAAGATGCCTTGCAGAAGAGGGACCTGCACAAGAAGAACAATTCGAAGCTGCGGATGAAGCCTGCTGCTGCTCCCGCTTGCTTGCATCGGCCTGCGGCTGCTGTGAAGAACCCGCAGTTGAAGAAGCGGCCTGCGGGGCAGAAGGCCGAGCAGCCGTACAAGCCGAATGACAGCAAGAAAAAATTTGCTTCGCGGGCGTATCACACTGCCATGTGCGAAGCCAAAAACAAGGGTATGAGCAACGACCAGATGTATGAGGCCGCTCGTGCTGCTCACAAGCGAGCGGCAGCACGCTGGGACGCAGATCACTAAGCATGGGATCTGCTGAGGGTGCCTAACAGTTTTGAGCAGCAGGCCTCGTAGATGCTGGGATCTTCTGAGAGTGCCTCGCAGTTTTGAGCAGCAGGCTTCGTAGATGCTGGGATCTTCTGAGAGTGCCTAGCAGGTTTGAGCAGACAGGCTTCGTAGATGGGATCTTCTGAGTCGGCATAGCAGTTTCTTCTGGTTGCCTAGAAGCAGCTAGGTTTGAGCAAGCAGGCTTTCGTGGAAGCCGAGGTTGAAAAATACGCTTGTTTTTGTAGGAGGGGGGGGGGGCGGGACGGCCGTAGATATGTATTCTGACATCAAACGCCTGTTTTCTGTTGCTTTGTTGGTCGTGCATGCATGTCTGTCGAAGTTCACGTTGCCGTTTGTATGTTTTGGCTCCAGCCATGCCTCCTCCCGGGACAGGGCCGAAGAGGCGCTGCAGGGATCCAGGAATTTGGGGGCTTAAGGGTTTTATATAGGGGGTTAAAGTTTTATAGGCTTTGGGGATGGTTGGGGTTTTCGGGCTTATATAATACTACTAGTACTAATAATAATTATATATATATATATATATATATATATATCTGATTATAATATATTGGGCTTTGCCTCCGGACCCTTTGGCGGCAGGCGAGTCTGCCTGGACCCCGGACCTTTCGGCAGAGGAAGCCCTGCGGGGTTTTCTCTGGACCGCTAGGCGGGGTCCAGCGGACTCGTCTTCCGGACCACTGGGCGGCGGCAAGGCTCCAGGTCCAGCTTGTCTGGGCACAAAAGCAGAAGGAATCCGAAGCACTGGAAGGCAACCTGTAGAAACCTTTAACGTCCCAAACCCACCCCCCCAAAAAAACAACTGCTGCAGGTGTGTTTCCTCGAGCTCCTCCACCTGGTCGCGGAGGCGGCCTTCGCCGCGACCGCTTTCCCCACCTCCTTTGCGGGGCAGGGAAGCAGAGGTTGCCCTGGACGCAAGACTTCGGGAGCTGGGCTGTGAGCGGCGGCCAGGTTCTTCGGACTGGTCCATGGCGGACCCCACGGACAGCGACAAGAAAGAGAAGGCGACCGGGGACGACGAAGAGGAAAGCTCAGAGGAGGCCAGCCAGGCTGAAAGTAAAAGCCAGCAGAAGGAAGAGAAAGAGCGCGAAGACCGGCGACGCCGGGAACTCGAACAGAAAGCCCGCGAAGAGCGGGAAAGCCACCACCGTCGCCGCGAAGACCGTGAAGACAGAGGCCGCTCGGACCGGGAAAAGCGCCACCGAGGCCGCGAAGACAAAGACCGAGACCGGGACCGTCGAGACCGCGAGCAGTCCAGAAGGAGAGAGCGGCGGCGCCGGCGCAGCGATCGTAGCGAGTCCCAAGAAAAAAAAAAGGACAGAAAGGACGAGAAAGCCGGGGTGCCCGAGCCAAAAGAGGAGCCCCAGTGGCGGTGGTGTCCCATGTATGGGACACACTGTTGCAAGAAGAGCGTGTGCTCTGCATTCGCTCTCCAGCAACACCTGGTGGCCAAGCACGGGCTCGGAGATGAAGAAGCGAAGATGCTGGCACGCCGCACCTTCCAGAAAGTCATCCTCCAGCCCCGCGAGGCGACGGCGGTCAAGGCGGAACCGGTTGAGACCGTGGAGCCTGTGCAGCCTGTGAAGCCCGAAGCGGCACTGCAGGCTGCATCCAGCAGCTCAAGCCGAGCGGATCTGCTGAGAGACTTGTTCACTCTCTCCCATCGCATCTTGGACGAGAAGTGATGCATGGGATGGCAGAGGTCATCTTCCGCAAGAGAGAAAAATCGGCCGGAAGTTTGTCTCTGGGGGTAAAGCGTCAATACCCTAAACCCTAATAAAGCCCTGAGCCGCTGTAAGAGTGGCTTTGGGGGTTTAGGTGTTTAGGAGTTTAGGGGTTCGGAAAACCCCCCCTAAACCTTAAACCCTAGACCCTAGACCCTAATAGACCCTGAACCCTGGCTTTTGGGGTTTACAGTAGGTGTTTAGGAGTTTAGGGGTTCGGAAAACACCCCTAAACCTTAAACCCTAAAGCCTAGACCCAATAAAGCCCTGAACCGCTGTAAGAGTGGCTGTGGGGGTTTAGGTGTTTAGGAGTTTAGGGGTTCGGAAAACCCCCCCTAAACCTTAAACCCTAAAGCCTAGATAATAGACCCTGAACCCTATAGACCCTAGACCCTAAACCCTAAAACTCTAAACCCTATAAACCCCAAACCCCTAAACCCTAAACCTTAACCACACACACACACACTTGGTACACACACACACACACACACACTTGGTACACACACACACACACCCCCACACGCACACGCACACGCACACGCACACGCACACGCACAAACACACACACACACACACACACCCACACCCACACCCACACCCACAGCTACAGCCACAGCCACAGCCACAGCCACACCCACACCCACACCCACACCCACACCCACACACACACACACAATCACACACACACACACTCACAAACACACACACACACAAACACACACACACACACACACACACTTGGTACACACACACTCACTCACAGACACAAACACACACACACACACACACTCACTCACTCACTCACAGACACACACACACACACACACACACACTCACTCACAGAGACACACACACACACACTTCGTATATATACACACACACAACCATGCACGCAGGCTTAAGAGCTCGCCTCTTTCTGCAGACGCGAGCTTCAGTTATACATATATATATATATATAGTGCGATGCCTGTCGTGTGCCGAAGCCATGGCTGCATGGTGTGGGTCTTGTCCGCTTCCCACAGGCACTGCTGCAGTGCTTGTCGGTTGGGTATAGGCCACGCCGAGAGATGCCTCTCTCAACAGCAGGGTCGTGCTGCCGGTGTGTGCCAAGGCTGTCCACGGCATGCCGGCCCGGGTCACCGATACTGCTGCAGGTTGTGCAGACAGACACCAGGCGGCGGCTGTCACACCAATGGCTGCCACCGGAGGAACGCGGGCCAGACCTCGCACAGCCAGGGGTTGCAGGGCCAGCCTTCGCAGGGTCAGCCTTCGCTGGCGAATGCTGCAGAGTCTCGCGAGCCCGAGTCTTTCTTGGACTCTTTGGATTGAGCTTTGGTGCTGTTCTCCTTGGAAAAAACATCGGTTTTTCTTGCAGACCGACGTAGTCTGAACGTAGTCCGGACGTAGTCCGGACGTAGTCCATGCCATGGCCATGAAAAATCGGACGTAGTCTGAACGTAGTCTGAACGTAGTCTGGACCAAAAAAAACATGTTTGATCCCTCAGTGCATCCGGTCTTTTTGCTCCGCAACAAGACAAAGGTGGCTCCTGACTGAGGCGTAAATTTTCCGCCACCAGTCAGCTCAAGGGAGTGGCGGGTGGGCCACAAAAGCTGCACACCGGAACAAACATGCTTGATCATGTTTGATCCCTCAGTGCATCCGGTCTTTTTGCTCCGCAACAAGACAAAGGTGGCTCCTGACTGAGGCGTAAATTTTCCGCCACCAGTCAGCTCCACCATCATGCCCGGCCAGCTAAAGTTACAGCCTTGCAGGCGTGGCGATAGCGCGCTGGGCGGAGTTAAACAAGAACGGAAAAACGGCTCTAGCCGCTTCGATAGCTTCTCTCGAATGTCGAGGGAGTGAGGGGAGCACAGAACCAGCGGCGACCTCCTGTAGGTAGAAGGCCAGTGTCGCCTGATGCTGGAGCCGCATTCGCCACTGCAGTGATGGAATATCCAGGCCCCCTTGGTAAGCTGCCACAGCTCCTCCGCCCCGGAGGGATCCCGGGGTGAGCTTGAACGTCCGAGCGACACCAAGCCTTTCAAGCAGGTAATCCCATCGACGTCTGTAGACTGAGGGGCTTCCGTGGTAAAGTCCCTCCGAGGGAGGTATGGCATCACAGACAGAAGAAATGAACTCCGCAATCCCAGACGGAAGCACCAATGCCACATGCTGAGTACGCGGTCCCCGGAACCTAGTTTTAGGCTCACGGATCTTCAAGAAGAACCGAAAATCAGTTCGTAGAAGGTCCTTCGGTGTCTGTAAATCTGATCTCTTCGCCCTCAAGACCTCCCCGATGCGGCAGCACCCGTAAAAGGCAACGAGCGTGATGCAGACCCAACGTTTCCATCCCCAACAGAAGCCGAGGCAGCACATCGCCTCGAAGATTGGCTCCGGTAGAGGCGGCCTGTGTTGGACCGGCTCCAAGCGCTCCCAGCGGGTGAGCATCTCCCACCCAGGCTTCAGGAGAGGGCGACATCCAGGAACTCGCCTTTGAGCAGTCGCAAGCAGCTGCCTGTAGTTTTGGAGAGGGGCTCCTTCGCTATACAGAACCTGGCCATACGCACAAAGCATCTCAACCAGAATGTCAGGGCAGCTCAAAGCGATTTCAGCGGCGACAGCTCCAGCACCATCGTGAAGCCATCTGCTGAAGCCTGACCAAACGGCCGTCTGCAAAGCAAGCGTAGCCGGCTCGACAAGAGGTACGTCCCGCAAGATAAGAGGTGCTCTCGCCTTCCGACGTGGAGGTCCAGGAACTCTCGCCTCCCCGATCCGCGCATTGGTGCACTTGGCGCACCGGCTAATGTCCAAAGGCCGAGCGTAATCAGCCCAACCAGCGTCTTGACACGTAGCCTGAGCCAAGAGCACGCAGAGCCTCCTGGGGTAAGGCTCACCAAGCTTGGTCCGCGATGACTTTGTAGCAGGATCACGACCGCGGAGTCGAAGGTGCTGGTGATCCCGGCTGCACCTCAAGTGTTGTCCACCGAGTTGCCCATTCGTTCGAAAGCGAGTAGGTTTCTTCCAAGGAGTCCCAAAAGTGCAAAAGTCGACAGCGAAGTCCCACCTCGTACCTCGTGCGAGACACCGCTTCCACCCTTCTTGGCGCCACATCCAGCTGCCTAAAGGGTTTTCGATCAAGTACAGAAGTCCTCCTCGGTCGCAGATAATCACCAGTTCCAGAACGAAGTCGAGCATGGCATTCCCTTCTCGGACCTTATCCCACTGCGCCGCTGTCAGGTTGGGTTTTCCAGCAGGGTACTCAGAGCTTCTCCATGGAGGAGTGATCGCGCAAGAAAAGCTAGCGCAGACAGGTCCAGCACTGAAACCCTCGAAGGCCCCACCTTCCAGAAGCTGCTTGATCGGCTTTTGAACGTCACAGTCCAGCAAGTCCTCGTCGCTTCCATGCAGCACATCGTAACAGAGGATCCAACATGGCGCGGCTCGAGCTAGCTCCTTAGCAAAGCCCCGGGAACCCGAAAACAAGTCAAGCCACCCCCGACCGTGAAGAAGAGCAGAACTCAGGTCAGGAAACACCTCGGAGAACACAAAGCGACCGGGCGGCAAGGATCGAAGTAAGTCCAAGATGGCCGGTGAGAGGGGAGAGGATTTTGGCGTAAGTCCAGGCCGAGGCGCAGAGAAGCGCCGTGATGCTTCGTTAAGCCCAGACGGTCTCAACAGCTCAACTCGAGAGGAGCCGGAGACTGACGCAGATAAAGGCTCAACCCGTGGGGAGCCGTCGACACTGAGAGAAGATGAACCGGGCTCCGGAGAGCCGGCGGCAGTCAAAGAAGGAGTTGGCGAGAAGGCAGGGGCCGGTGAATCGGGAAGGTTGAACCCTAATGCCTCAAGGGATTCCCTCTGGTTTTCACTCAGCTTCCACAAGTCGCGAACTGTGAATGCGACGAGCACACATCTCCTGCCCCGCCAGGGCATAGTAGCATGAAGGCGATGGTGTTCAAGCACACAAGCCCCCCGGCTGACATCAAGGAGCTCTCCATGCACCGTCCTCCCCTTCCATTGGAGAGGAACTGATCCTCCGGTTGTTTCAATCCACACTTCCCCGCCCCGAAATCGACTCAACGGCACAATCAAGTTCGGATGACCTTCAAGATTATGAGAATCCTTATGGGGCAGGGACTTAGTGTTTGCGAGCACACTAAAGGAGGAGAAACGCATTCCAGGCATAACCTGGCGGATGTAAAGGCAGAAGGCCCGCACCGCTCGCGGGAACGTCCCACAGGAATTCAGGAGCCCCACAACTCCTCCATGGACGAACGCTCCACCATTGAAGGTCAAGCCTTTCTGCTTTTCCAAGGCGCTACGATCACTCACCTGAGCAGGCAGCCTGTCAAAGAGCACAAGAAGGTCAGCAGAGCCAATCACAGCCCGACGCAGGATTCGGCTTGCAACACTCTCAGGGTCCTGAGCACGACGCCCCCGTCGACCTCGGTCGAGGCCAGGGAGGCTGAAAGAAGCATCCGGGCCCAGCTCCCGCTCATCAGGCAAATCTCGAAGTTGATCCAAGTGAAGCCCAATCGAGGTTAGCCAGGAGTCAAGTGGTCCGAAGTCTCCCTGACAAGCCGGGCCCCACCAGGCGGGAGCGACAGCAGCTGGCTTGCGCACATCGACGGCCCGCGTAGGGTCGTCCGCCGGGTTAAATTTGGATCGGACGAAACCATATCTAGGCTGGGTCCTTAGGGTCAAGTGGTCCGCTAGGGAGCGCCGAAGTTCGAAATTCAAGGCGCGAGAGGAGCTGCGGCCCTTCACAAGACAGGCTGTTGCGACCTGGCTATCAAGAAGGTGCAGATACCGCGTTCCCGGAAACCGCCTACCCAAACCAGCTTCGGCACGCAGGGCGGCCCGAATTTCTCCGACGTTGATGTGGTGCCGCTTGTGCGTGGCAAGCACAGGTCCGAACTGCCGGAACGGCAGGAAACTGCAAAGGGCTTCGAGCATAGGGTGATGCTCATAGTGGCTCTCAGGGAGCTCGCCAACACCGAGGTCATCATCCCCACGTTCTCGCAAGTAGGCGGGGACCTCGCCGAGCAATCTGTTCCACAGGCCTTTCTGCAAGCCGTGTCGGCACAGCTCGACCGACACCCCGGGCGGAATGTCACTGCACACGGCGGCCTCCGAGACAGAAGAGGCGTCCGAACAGATCATCATAGGCGCTCCTTCGGCTCTGATGTCGACCTCAGAGAGACACAGGAGGGCGGCCGAGCACAACAGCTCGGAGGCAAGCGGACCTCTGACAAGGAAGGCGTCGGAAGGCCCCACACCTCTTTGTGCGCCATAAACGGAATCAAGCAGGCTGAGCAGCCGCCGCCGAACCTGAAGTGCGGAGACCAGGGCTCCACTCACAGCTTCCAGCAAAGAGCCACAACATGCTTTCTGGCGAACGATGCGAACTAAAAGGAACGCCAAGGGCACTACTCGCTTCGGGTTGGGCCTGATCAAGCCTCGCTCCCCATCAAAGAGCGCACCCCAGAATTCCGCTTGGCTTTCACCGTACACTGCTTTGCCGGCATGTCTCGGCAATCCCGTGGCTTCGTATCCTGCCCGCACCTCCTCGATGACCGCTTGTCCCAAAGACGGCCGATCAGTTTTCCCTTTCTCGACAAAATCAAGGTAAATGAAATCGTCTATAAGGAGGCCAGCAAAGGAATTAGGGCTACGAGGTGGGCGGCCCTTCAGGGTAAGAAAATCTTTTAGGCGCAACCGGGTCCATCTCAAGAGAACCGCCAAATGCGATGTCTGCCCGAAGCTCACCGCGTGGGTGTCGCCCATAGCTAAGGTATCCAAGCAAGGCACCATCAGCTCGGAGGCAGTCCCCTGGCAAGCACAAGACAAAGTCGCTGCTTCCTCGCGTGTCAGATACACGGCCAACGCATTTCGCTGGCACCGGTCTGTGGAGATCAAGAAAGCATGGTAGAATTCCCGCAAGTCCTCGCAGTACACTCGGATTTCATGGGTTGGTGGCAGATAAGCGTGCTGAAGCTGCTCGACACTTCCCAAGCTCTGTATCCAGGGGTCCTCGCCTCCTTCGCCCATGTTGGGCACTCTCGCATCAAGCACCAAGCGATCCCGGGCTTCATCCTTCGGTACAGCAAACAGCCCGTTGCGGTAAGGAGTGCGCACTTGCGACGAAGGGAAAACCTTAAGCCGCTTACACTTATCCAAAGCTTGCAGCAGGCCCAAGCGCTTCCCAGGCGCGGTCCTGACTTGAGCGCGGGGAATGGGCACTCCTTCAGGAATCTCAACCCGGAAGGCCGAAGGGTTTTCGTAGATAGCTCGGGAGTAGTTATCCAAGTAGGGCCTGGGGTCAAAAGAAGGTTCGCCTACGAACTTAATCCTATCACAGTCGACAGGGAGCGCGTGGCACGGCCGGCTCAACTTCATGCGCACAGCACCTTCAAGGCTTCTCCCAGCAAGCCTCAGCTCGCCGAAACCACGGGAGATCGCAGAGAGCAGATCCTCCAAGGCTTCAAACTTAGCCGCGGCCCGGCCCATCTCGGAAGGTCCCACCGTCGGGGTGGCGTTCCATCGCTGCACAGAACTTCGCAGCGCCTCAACGCGCTGCCACTGCCGTGGGTGAAGGTCGCGCCCGAGCTTGATCTCGTGGTCGGCTCGGCACACGGCGGGCTGCCCCAGAAACAGCCAGTTGAGCACTAGAACAAGTGCATTCAGCGAGAGCCTCTCGGCATCTCTCGTGGAGTTCCCTGGGAGCAACAGCTCGGGGTAGGGCAAAGGCATGGGCCAAATCTTCCTCCGAGACTGAGCCGAATCTCCATGGGGCCCCCGACCTCGTCGAGGTAATTCGCGGAGCGAGTGAAAGAAAATGGAGAGGCTGCAATCGCTGGAGCTAAGAGCCCCAAACCACTCCTCCCACAGTCGAGAGGCCGTCACGGGAGTAGCTCGAGTGCCCGGCACAGCTTTGCAAGCATCCACATTCCTAGGTCCAGGGCAAGCTTCCGAAGCAGCAGACGCATCGGTCGTACCACCGCAGCTCGCCTCCAGGAGCGCCGACGGCGGCGCAGGCAAAACAGAGTCAGCCACAGAAGTCGGCTTGCTCGGGGAATCCGGGAGGCACCTAGGGTAACCACAAGGGGCCTCGGGACTAAACCGAACTGGACCGACGACAGGCTCAGAGGGAAAAGAGGGATTAGGGTTACCACAAGAAGGAGCGGGCCTAAACCGTACAGGGTCGGCAGCTGCAGTGGGCTCATCACGAGCCGCCGGCGGCTCCGCAGAGCAAAGATCAGATGCCCCGATGCAAAGCTTGTCGGAAGCCTCGGCAGGAAAGGTTGCAGGGCTCAAACTAGGGTAACCAAAAGTGGGGCAGGGACTATACCCGAAAACGGCAGGGGAGGAAGAGTCCTCCGCACTCAAAGGATTAGGGGCGCTAGTTCGCCCGGCAGCAAGCCCGGTGTCGGCTTCCCGCAACGCAAAATGCACAGACTTATTCTTCAAAGGCTCCTTACGGGGGAGAACCAAACCATCAGAATTAAGGGAACTTGAAAAAGGCGCCTGGGAAGGCGAGCGACTGCAGGGGCTGAACGGTACGGGCCCATTGCATCCACGCAGCAAACAACTCGCTCCAAACGTCCCCCCTACTGGAGGATTCCCGGCAGCCACAACAAAAGGCGCCTTCCCACTCTGCGGAGAGGGGGCACAAGCACCTGCACAAGTAGTCGAAAGAGGAACGGCCTCCTCCGAACTGGCTCCAGCCTCAATCACTTGTCCTCCTTTTTGTTCCCTTTGTCGCCACGTCCGCCGCCCTTGGGACCTTTGCGACCTCCCTTGCCATCCTTGGGATCCCCGGGAGTCTCGGTGGGCTGGCCGTCTCCGCGACCGCCCGGAGGCACGCTGGGACCTGGAGCTCCATTGCCAGCGCCTCCACCGCCCAGGTTCTTCTTGGCAGTGTGGTAGGCGTCTCTCTCTTTGATCCGCCCCATCAGGATGGAAATCCACCTTGGGTCCAACAAGCGAGTCTGGCGAGCCTCGAATGGGTCTAGAGTCCTCGGGCGGCTGAATGCCCCGAAGGGCGGACTCGGTTCCAGAGCGATCTCGCTCGCGAGCAGCCATGAGCCGCTGTCGATAGCGGCTTGATCTAATCCAGCCAACGCGAGAAGCGCTGTGGCTTTCGCCAGTTCTGCATCTCCATTGTTCAGAGCGTCGATGATGCCACCAAGGGTCCAAGCCTGACGGACAGGCCCATTGAAGCTTTGCAGGAGGCTCCGATGTTCTATCCAAGCCCTTGCACTGCAAGGCCGAGCATCCAAGCCCGGTCCGCTCTGCGCATGCGCGAAGTCGTCCTGCATGCAAGACTCGATCGACTTGGAGATCTCGGCCGGGTTGGTCCTGAGCATGCTTCGGAGCCGCTGGTAAGCAGCGGCCTTGCTCCGTCCGCTCGAAGAAGAGGCCCCCGTCAGATCGGAGCCCCCCTCCGCTCGGTCCAACACGTCCTCGAGACTCGAAGGCTTCTTCTCCTTGTGCATGTGCGAGAGGATTCGACTCATCTGCACCACCGCCTGATGAAGCTCGCCGCCGCCGTCCTTTCCGGGGTGAACCTCGGCATCGTCCTCGAGCGGCTCGTCGTCTAAGGGATCCACCGCGGGACCTTTCGGCTCTGCCGGCAATCTCCTCGCTCCCTGAACAAGCTGACTCATCTTCTCCAGCTGGGCTTCGGGCACCCCGGCCATCCGAGCGGAACGTAGCACGGCAGGATCCAAGCCTGCCAAAGGTGGGCCGCCAACCGTCGGCGCTGGAGTCCTTGAGGGAAGACCGCCGACCCGCGTCTGGCGAGCCGGTGCAGCGGGCGCCGGTTCTCCTCCCGCACCACGAGCGAGGAGGGTCTGGATGCCTGCTTTCAACTCTCCAATGGCTGACTCCACAGCTTCCAGGCGAGCGGGGACCCGCGACTCCAAGTCCTCCTCCGGCAGAAACTCCTGAGCTGAGTGGAAGCTGAAGTGCTCGGCCGCGATCGCGCTGAGGGACTGCCCCAGCGGGCAAGCTGGACTCGGTCCCCCTGCCGTCCCACCGGAGCCCGCCACCGTGAAGACGATCTCCGCCCCTTCGTCGGCGGCTCCGAAAGCAGTAGCTTCGCCCCCTCCGGAGAAGACGACGCTGGTCACCAGAGCCGGGTTCAAGACGCCCAGCCAAGTCTTCACCTTCCAGACAGGATGTGCTTGACGTCTGTCCACAGCCGATGCCGCCAGGACCTCCGCCAACGTCGGGCGAGTCAGAGAATCCGGAGGCAAGTACCTTCTGGCACCCACCCGGTGCCAAGCTGCATGAGGCACCGCTACGAGGTACCCTCCGTCCACCAAGGCTACCCCGATTATCTGGCACGATAAGACCTCCCCGCCTTCTCGCTCCACTTGCAAGGCTCCCACACGGCACTCCGGTCCGGTGTCGCTGAGCAGACATTCAGCCAGGCCGGGAGGGGCCAGGCTCTCACGCTCTCGCTCACTATGCTCACTGTCCTCCGCCTCCGCCATGACCGCTCAAGCTCGGACAGATGAGTCCTGCGCTGGACAAGGCAATGCGAACCTCAGCCTGGGAAGGCAGACCAATGAACACGGAAGCCCCGCAGTCGGTGCGAGACGAATCAACGAAGCAGAGCTGCTTAACTCGAGAGAAACTCGAGGTCACAATCGGAGGATCGTAATCTTTTCCCTGGTGGTCACGGCAGACAATGTAGATCCTAGTCGAGAGCGTAAGAGCCTCTCGACCCGAGCTCCCACTAGCCCGACCGCTAAGCCTCCCTGCCAAGAACCGCCCTACACCCTGAGCGATATGCACTCGGAACTCTGAGGTAGGAGGACCCGGGTTCGCAGCACAGGATCCGTCCGCAAACCCTCCCGGACGCGCCTCAGAGGCGGCGGGTCGTACAGCTGGAGATTGCACGCCAGCTGCTGCCCCGGAGGGCCGGTAAGGGGTACTAGGCTGACTGCTCGAACTCCCTCGGGTAACAGAGCGCTGCGGGCTCGGAGCTTCCACAACCTCAAATCCAACCTGCGCCTCCAAATCTGCAATTCTCTCCTCCAAGCGAGCAAGTAGAACGCGGAGCGATCGAGCCTCTTCACGAAGAGAGATCAGCTCGGAGCGCACACTCATTCAAGAATCCGATAAAGCCTGGCAATCGGACGACTAGCCCGCCCCCAACTCCGGAGAAGGCCAAGTCGAAGGAGGAGGAGGAAATCCAGAGCAGGCCCTAGGCAAAGCCCCAGAAGAAGCCCCAAGAGCAGGGAAGGCCAATGAAGGTCCCCAGCCCACCGGTCGCGATCCAAATCCAAGGCCCCCGCCAAACCCGAAGGAAGCAAAGGCTCAGGAGGAATCAGAATCCCTTGATCCCGCGTCACCTCCCGGAAGACCTGGAACAGAACACCGAGGATCCCTCCAGAAGCTCCCGAAGCGGCTACCAGCGGCCAAGGCCGCATGAACCACAAAAGCTGCACACCGGAACAAACATGCTTGATTCAGCTTGATCATGCTTTTCTATAAAAACCAACGTAGTCTGGACGTAGTCCAGCCCCAAAACCACCCTGCAGCTAAGGAAACAGACGTAGTCTGGACGTAGTCCAACACTTTTCATAGGAAAACAGACGTAGGCGGGACGTAGTCGGAACGTAGTCCAACAATTTCCTGCATTCTCTGCGACGTAGTCTGAACGTAGTCGGACTCTTTGTTGTCCTGCAGATTTCCAAGCATGTGCCGCTGTCATATATGGCTCGAGATTCCTTTAAAAGCTTGCAGTTTTTTGTGCTTGCAACCTCTGCTGCAGGGATGGCAGGCAGCTTGGAAAACGGTGTGCCTGTGCAGCCTGCGGCCGGCCAGGTGGTTCCTCAGTCAAAGCCCGAAGCGGCCGTTGCGGTGTGCAGCCTGCAGTGCAGCGAGTGCAAGAGGAACCTTCAGCCTGAGGAGCTTGCCAGCACCGCAAAAAAGCTTTGCAAGGACTGCAACAGTCTTCTGCAGGTGCTCTTCCGTAACCTAGGGGCTGGTGCTCTGGACAACCTCACCAGCGAAGACCGTGCGCAGTTCTTCGGCAAGTGCATCGCGACCAAACAAGGCTCTCGTGACGAGTGGTCTGTGGTGCGTGCCGCCCTGCTGGAGAGCCGCATCGAGCGCCGAACGCAGCAAAAGGTCGCCGAAGTCGGCGGACCGTTCCTGCCGATGTCCGTGTGGCTGAACAAGGGCTTCAGCGAAGACCACGTCAGGAAATTCCCCTGCGAGAAAGACATAGTGGGAGAAGAGACCTGGCAAGTGCAGACAAAAACCGTGAGTCGCAGGGACGTGCAAGAGTCTGTGGAAGAAGAACTGCTCCAACGAGAGTCTGACTTGAGACACCTGAAAAAGGGCAAAGGCAAAGGCAAGGACACCACGTCCCCTGCAGAACCCGAGCTTTACGTGCCGAAGCAGTCTGCTTTGCCCCTGGCTGCTGCTCCGGTGAAAGAAAAAACCGAGAAGCAACTGGCTCAAGAGGCGGCACGTGAAAAAAGAGCTGAGGCCAAGGCAGCCGCAAAGACTGCGAGGAAAAACCGAACCCTCTGCACGGAAGCCACCACCAGCCTTGCCAAGCTCCAGCCCAAAGAACCAGCCTTGGAAAAGTTGGAACAAAAAGTGGCGCAACACAAGCTGGAGGACTTTGCCCAGTTGGTTGCGGAAGCGAAGCAACAGCTGCAAGAGTGGGTGAAAGCCTGCAAGCTCACCCTCACTGCTTCCGAAAAGGCAGGAGCCGTTTTGGAAGAGCTGCCCTTCACGCAGGAAATGATCAAAGGTTTTCTGCAAGCCTTGCAGCAGCTCACAAAGGACGTCTTCGACGCTACGCCGAAGCCAGAGCCGAAGCCGAAGAAGACTGCGGCAAAGGCGTCCGCAGCCAAGGCAGCGGGCGATCCCAAGCGCAGGCGAGTGGCGAAGGGTGCCTGATCGAAGGCAGCACAAGGTTTGATGCACCTCTGCATGCATCATGCGATCAATCGCTGCATCTGCGGCCTCTTTTCCCCAAAGCAACTCAAACAACTTTTCCTCCGACTGAACGCAGTGCCCTCTCGCTGCAAACTTTTAACGGAGACTCTTTGTGTCAGCGGCAACACGAGCAAAGGACAAAAACATGATATATACAACCCTAAACCCTCTAGCCCTAAACCCTTATAAACCACATAGCACACGCCCGCCCCCCCCCACACACACACACACACTCATACCATCAAATACATGACTGAGTTTGTATTTAAAGTGTATATGTCTATACACATGTATGTATACACGTGCAGCAATTGCTTTATCCGCTGGCCTGTCCTGTGCTTGCTGCTTCAGTTTTTGGTTCAAGTGTCCTGTGCCATAGACCAGCATGGCCGATGCTGGTGCTAAGCTTGTCCAGCTGCGACATGGCAAGGAGGCATCTAGAGGTAAGTCACTGACAAGATGTTGTTTGTATTATTTTCATAAAATTTTCATGCATCCTATAACATTGGTCCACACAGGTGCTGTTGAATGAAGACATCCGTGCGAGCATGCGGAAAGCAATGCACAAAATGGACAGAAACCTGGAACCAGTTGTGGTGTCTTCTTCTTCTGACGAAGAAACCGCATCGGGGCCAGGTGTCCGTGACGTCGCAAGCAGCTCGCCCCATGCCTCTTCGGGATCAAGCCCCCCGGCAGACTTCACCACAAACGACATTGTGGAGCATGCCGCCCTGCTGGCAACAGAGATGTGGCCATTGCTAGGCTGCAAAGAGCTCTCGGATGTCACGCTCTCTTCCCTCCTAGAACACCGATATATTCTTCAGGACATCAAGGAGACCCTCCTGCGAAAGCAGCGAGGTCTGCCCCACACGTGCCTCCTGACAGCAGCAGGGGTGCAGGCGGCTCTGAAAGATGCCGAGCACCTGCTGCGATGCGCCCGCCGTGAAGCCGAAGAGCGGGCCCCCGGAGCAAAGAACCGAAAAATGCTTGCAGCCTCTTGAACTGCAGCAGGAGCATGGATATAGCATCGGAAGGGAACCGACCCGCCAACCGCGAAGGGACAAAACAAACGGTCGATCAACTCCGTGAATGCAGGTGAACTAAACCCGAGACCCTAAAACCCTATAGACCCTAAACCGTCCGTGCAGTTGAAACGGTCCGTCTGTCTGCCTGTCACTTCCTAAATGCACACATGTTCCCCCGTAAAGTCCTTCCTTGTTTGTTTTAATGCAGCCCGATATTGCTCAAGTTTGCCTCCTTTCCCGCCCTTCTCCAAACGGTTTGTGCTTGCATGGGAAAAGAGCGAACATGGGCCGGAAGCGAGCGCTGTCGCCGGAGACCCATCGGAAACTGACAGAAGCCGTGCAGGCGCCAAACGCCGTTCCTGCGCAGGTCTTGCAACAGTGGAATAAGTTTTGCCCGGAGAAGGCAATAAAGGAAAGTACTTTCAAAAACACTCTCAACAAACACCGCCTGCCATGCAGCTGCTGCTTTGAAGAACTGGAACTGCCTGCAGTGCCTGCAGCTGGCACAGACTGCACACCGGTATTTGTGCTCGCAGCACACATACCGCGGCTCCTGCAGTTCCTCACCACAACAAGCCCGCCCTTTGCACAAGCCCTCCTCACTGGCCTAGAGCAGGACCCGCAACTTCAAATGATTCTATATCATGACGAAGCACAAGGTGGAAACCTGCTGGCGGTCCATAAGTGGAAGAAGGCAACTTTGTTTTATGCCTCTTTCTCGCAGCTGAGAACCAGTGCGCACCTGCAGCAGTGCTGGCTGCCAGTGGCCATGGTGCAGCACGAGGAGGCCGAGCGAGCAGCCGGAGGCCTGTCTGCAGTTCTCGCACGCATCTTGCGCTTCTTCTGGCAGTCTGCTGATGGCGGCTTCAGTCTTGTCTTCAATGGCATCACGAAAGCGACCGCCTTGACTCGGCACTGCCACTTGTTGTGCGATTATGATGCACAGCGAGCATGCCTTGGAATGACGGGCTCCAATGGCATGCGATGCTGTGTGCATTGTTGCAATGTCTTGCGAAAGAACTCGCAGGTTGAACGAGCCCCTTTCGTGGAGTACTCAGAGCACTCACGGCGCAAGTTTGTAAAGGCTCTTGACGAAGATCACTGGGCGGCAGCAGACAAGCTGCGAACTCTCAAGAAAGTTGGAGAAATAAAAAGCTTCGAGAAAACCTCCGGTATTAAATGCTTGCCGGAGGCCTTGCTGCATGACAAAGTCGCACGTGAGATTTTGCCGGTCTCTTGTTGTGCTGCTGACAGCATGCATTTGTACTACCACCAAGGCCTGATATCATGGGAAGTGGCGAACGTGTGGGCAGCATTCAGACGAGAAGCCCATGGCTTGACGTTGCAAATGTTGAAGGACACAGTGACAGCCACTCGCTGGCACGGCCCTGGGAACTCCAATCACACACGTCCCTCTTATATTGGCAGCTTGTTCCATGAGAAACTCTGGGCGGACGGCCAGTACAAGGGGCAAGCCGAAGATGCCTCTGCCTTGGTCCCGCTGTTGCGGTACTACCTGGAGGTGCTTTGCAAGCCCCGCGGTCTTCTTGAGAAGGAGCTGGCCAGTTTCAACGCCCTCGCTGACCTCCACTCAGAGATTCGACGGTTGCAGTTTGTCTTCCGGCCTCTAAGAGAAGGCGATGTTCAAGACTTGCGGAAATTTGAAGAACAACACCAACAACTCTATGTTGATGCTTATGGCGCCGACGAGACGCGGCCTAAGCACCATCATCGCTTTCACTTGTCTGAGGGGTGTGTGCTCTTGAAAATGCTGCCAAATTGCGTGACGCATGAAGCAAAGCACAAGATCTACAAGCAAAGCCTTTGCGACAGATACCAACACAAGGTTAAAATCCCCAGAGTCTTCTTGAGAAAATGTTTGACTGTCATGCTGGAGACAACGGTGCATCAGCAAAAGGAATCAGGAATGGCACACTGGCAGCTGAACGAGCCTTGCAAAGCAGCTGCCGGCAATCTGCGACAGGCCCTGTCCTCATCCGGCCTGCTTGAGGCCAACAGCACGACCTTGTGGCAAAGCACAGTGTCCGTGGGTGATGTCCTCATCTTCTCCAAGCAGGATGCCGGAGTAGTGTTGCAATGCCTCGGGGATGATCAGGCTTTATGGCTTCTCCTGCAGAGCTTTCAGCATCTCTCTGACCATGCATGGGGATGCAGATGGCAGCTCACCCAAAAGCAGAAACTCTGGAAAGTGAGAGCCGATGAACCGTACTGGCTGCCACAGTGGTGGCATCGAGCTAACGATGATATCATCACGCTTGCTTGAGCAGAAAAGCTGGTCTTTGTTTGTGTGTGTGTGTGCTTTATTTTGGCAATGATTTCTGCTATTTTGAAGCTTTCTCTCTTCTGATTCGGTTTCTTTACAATCGTGGAGTTGCGCAACGCAGTAAGACTTACGATACTTATAACTTACTTATAACCTGACTTGTAATCTGCGCCCCGTAAGTTAAATATAACCCCGACAAGTCAACTTATAACCAAACGGCCCTTACAGTACCTTGAACCATAAACCAGCATCCCTCGAACCTCAGCCAGCCAGAAAGGATCGAGCCGGACCGAGCAGCCATTGGCACACCTCAGTTTACAGCTGAGTCGTGCATTCGGTATGCATGCAGGTCCTGCATGCATGTATCCATATGCAGTTGTATGCATGCAGGTATGTCTATAGATATATAGGTAGAGGTGTACAAGAGTGATACCAAAAAGCGAAAAAGCACCATTATATGTATGCACACATGGAAATGCGTATGTATGTGAAAATATATACTCATATATATATATATATATATATATATGTAGAGATATAACTCTATGTTCATTGCTTTTTATACATACGTGGAGCATTAGGGATATCTCTGGTTGCTGGCTCATACCCTAACATACCTGCACTCGTACCTCATGTATGCATGTGCGTGTGCGCGCGTGTGCGCGCATGTAGATGTCTACACAAGCGTATACGTGTACAGATAATTGATAGATACGTCGCTAACTAGCCACAGAAGGAGAGGGAGGGAGGGAGGGAGGGAGAGAGAGGGAGAGACAGAGAGAGAGAGAGAGAGAGAGACAGAGGGAGAGAGAGAGAGAGAGAGAGAGAGTGATGTTCACGTACGTATACGGTGTACCTGCACATACGTGTAAAAACGCTTTCGCTACACAAATATTGTCGCATTAGGCAATGTCTACAGTTTACAGTAACTGACCACCCGTGCTTCAAAGGTTGGTTGCTGATTAGAAGCAACTACCGGGCAACTGTAAGTATGGCTATCGAAATCCAGGTTAGCCAAGCCGGCCAAATTATACGTAGCAGGTTGGCTCCAGGACACTGCGGTAGCTGTCACGCGCTCTGCTGGCGGCCTCTTGTCCGGATGCCACCTCAACAAAGCTGGCTGGAAACTACCTCATCCTCTGCATGCACTTGCAGGGCTACAATTCGTTCACATTGCTGCGGCCCGCCTTGCGTGCATTGTTGTCTTAATGCCAGTTAAACGGATCCGCACCGTCACTCTTGCAATGGCTCTCGGCCGGCTTGCGAAGCACGCGCACACAGAGACAAACCACTGTTGCAAGAATGAAAAACATGTGACAACCTGACCCTGTGTTGAGCATTTGAGGTTTGCACTGGCCCCTGATCAGGCCCGCATCATCCCCCATCCCATAAGCCATGCCAAAGTGCTCCAGCATGAACTGCTTGAAGGCCTTGGTCCGCGTTTCAACGGAGTAGGACCTGCAGGCGGCAGATGGGTTCAAGCAGCATACTGAGGCGTACTGATTCGAGCAACCATAACCATCCGGCCTTTGCCCTTGCATCGCACTGACGAGTCGCTTTGTCGCGGCTGCGGCTGCTGGCGGTTGCAGCAAAGGAGCCGGAACCTGCCGGGGAGGTCGTGAGTCGTAAGTTCCGGACTGGAAAGATGTAGTGTAGAGTGCCATGCACCCTCGAGTCTTAGAGAAATCGAGTTTGGTGCTCGCCTCATAAGGGGATTCACCACAGCCTAACGATCTGCTACACTTCTGCCAAAGCAAACTCCCTTTTGAAGCGCAGCCGCATTGGGCAACCCTGGATTCTCACCTTCAGGGACTCCGACATTGAATTACTGTACTACTCCAGGTCCTGACCCATCCGGCCTCGACTGCCACGACTGCCGCCTCTTCCCGCTCCTTACTGGCAAAAAGCATCCTTCAAACTCCCGGCTCGAGCTTTGGCCGGTCAGCAACTGAGGTCGTTTACCTCCAGCTTCATCCAAACCCTCTCCACGGCTTCGAACGAAACAGAAACCGTGAAATCTGATACCAACAGTGATGACAGCACATATTCTTGGATGATCTCATGAGCGGTGAGCAATGACATGCAATGACAGAACAAACGCAAGTTTCTTGCAGCGGAGGAAGACCCCTGAAGAGCTGCGATTGGTGGTGATATGAAGCTCGGCAGCGGGCATGGAGCTGATTCGCGTCTCTCGACTGGCAAAACCCGCAAGAAACTAAAAGGCAGCATTCATTCGGTGCCGCTGTTCTCGGTGGGCGTTCGATCCCGAAGTCAAACGATGCACGTAGCTCGGTACCCAAATTCCGCACTTTCGAGTTCTCGGAACATGTCAAGTCCAACCCTGCAGTCGGGGCACTGACTCGTTGCGGGGCCATGGCGGCTCGGGACATTGTGCCTGGGTTGCAGCCAGCATGGCAGATTGAATTGGCCAGTTAGCAATCCGACTGTCTGCACTCCAATGCCCATCCAGCCTTAGTTCCCCCGATGCAGCTTTGAGACAGGTGGAAACAGAAAGACAGCGAAAAAAACATGCTTTAGCCAAAGTCAGCCGTCTGAACATTCCATGATGCGGCCGGTCCACCCTGCAGAAAACCCAAGCAGCAAAGCAACCCCAAGTCGAGCGATACTACCTTCTTGCAACTTTGTACAGCAGGCAGTGCACCAGCTTCCTCCAAGCGCCGCAAAAGCTTGCTTTTCACCTGTGATGATTGGTTGGTTTGATCCTCTTGGTTCGAGCTCCAAGTGGCCATCAGTTCATTTCTGTGCTAGTAAAACTGTCAAGCAGGGACTCCACTGGTCAACACAACGAAACGACCTCAACCGCTACCTGGCGAGCGATGTCGATAACGGTAAAATGCCTCAGTTGACGTGATGGTTGTGTGGTGCAAGACGCAATGCCTGGAGAAATGGTGTCGATTGAGGCGATATTTTGGGAAGCTCTGCCTGACACACTTTGACTCGGCTGGGCAGATCCACACTCGAATCTAGTGGTAAACTGAACAACCAGCTTCGTCAACCAGCCTCCCTTAATTCAGCCAGGCGCTTGTACGGGCCAAACTCGTTGAGACCACAGCAAACCACGTTCCTGCAGGCTTCGTTTTGAGTGGGTGCAGATCCGGGAGCTTGGTGCGGAACGGAAGGTGCTCGAACAAGTTGCTGTCGGCTGTCGATGCATTGGCGTTGACCTTCTCCTCCCTATGCTTTCGGTGTGACCTGAACCTCAAGCCTACGAACAGCGCCACAGCGCAGGCAAGCCTTCAATGGAAGAACGCACCACCCGAATAGCAGCCACTCTGACACCATGATCACTCCTCACCCCACGAGTGACAGTCGTGAGCTGCTAAGCTACTTTGGCGAGGCACAGCTGCGTTGCTGCATGTTGGAGGAGCATGTCGCAGATTTCGTCATGCCTTGCAGGGTTGATTGATGTGGGCAGTAGATGGCAGTAGGGGCTCCGGTGGGCTCTCCCTTTCCCTGTTCTTTCAGCATGATCCTGATGCCGGCCCGGCGGCTTCTCCATGCACGCGGCGATGAGGGGCGTATATTCCTCCCAGCTTATCGCGCATTGGCAGCATCCATCACCTCTGATCAACAAAAACATTGTGTGATCTCTGAGAAGCGAGACTTTGAGTCGACGCTCTCAGTCTCAGGCGAACTCCGCGACCCGTAAGTTCGGAACACTGCAGATTTTCAGCTGGCACTCAACAAAACCGTCGACAAGGATGCAGCAAACCTCTTCAAGCTGACGAGAGAACTTGAGGAAATGGAGCAAACCGTCATGCCCTTCGGCAGCCCTAACTCCGGTACTTGCGGACATTTGGATTCGGATCAACGCACACACGAAAGCTCCAGCAGAAAGGATCTCTCGCAGCTTCAGCCCGGGCGCTGCCCTTCAACCTCTCCTCCCGCAGCCAGATGCTGTTGGGATCTCCCTCCTTGCAGGGCGCTCGGGAGCTCAACTTGAAGCACCAGCCCCCGTGACGGGGCCCCGCTCCTCCAGCAGCTTTGCAACTGCAGCCCGGTCACCCTCGAAACTCCTTGGCTGGCAGCGGAGAGATTACAGGAGCGTGAGGAAAGCAGAAGCCAGAACAGACGGGTGAAGACTCACATCTCCCTCAAGCGCCGAAGCCAAACCTAAGTGAGACGTCCGCCGAGCCGCTTCTGCACGAGCTCCGGGCAGGGTTTCAGCTTCGCCGCCTGGAGCACCTGATCGGTTTGCTTGGCTTTGCTGCCTCTTTGCTTTCCACCATGTTTTCCCGGAATCTTCGGTGCCTCTTCAAGCTCCGCAAGGCTCGGAATGGAGCTCCCCGGCCCCAGCTCCTGCAAGGGCGGACACTTCTGAATTCGGTTTTTGCCAGCCCTGTGGCCCTGTGCCCTGTCCTGCAGATCGACCTCGGCCTCGCCCTGCTCGGCTCCGGGCTCGACGAGTCGCAGCCGAGGCGGCCGAGGCGGCTCTGGCTCTGGCGCGGGGGCGTCCGCCGGGTCCGCGAAGGGATCCCAAGCCATGGCACTCAGCGGCTCCAAGCATCCACGAGGGAGGCAAGTACGTTTCCTGCAGCTGCCAGAAAAGCTAGCTCGGCTTCAACTGTTCGGCTGGCAAATCGTACATTCCAAGCAGGCTGTATCGAGTTTGCCACTTCTGCTTGAGCAACAGTCAAACTGCGGGGACGAGAGGCGGCTTTTGTCAAACCCGTGGAGCTGCTTCAGCGAGCCACACCCTTAATCCGCGTGACTCTGCCAACAGTCAGTTGCCGGCGCTGTTGCTGAGGGCAACTGCTGCTGCTGCTGCTGCTGCTGCTGTTGCTGTTGTCACTCAGAAACCCATCAACGGCGAAGCAACTCGAACTCAGACTGAGAAGGCGGCTCCATTGAAGCTGGGAACGTTTTCGAGGAAGAGTATGTCGTCCTGGCGAAAGACCGATCGGGTGCTTTACGAAGGCTGGACCTGTCTCAGCAATACACCCTGCAACATAACATTGGCCTTTGTTGGGCCTTTAAGACCTTTTTCGTCGCCCACGCTCCTCGCTCTGAAGCGGTTTGGTGGAGCCAGCCAGCACCTAGAAGGCTGAAAACACAGTCTGCTGATCATGGCGACCCTCTCTTTCGGAGCAGACCGTTGGATGACAAAGACTAGAAGCCTTGAGAGCCCCCACTCCTCAAGTCTTGAGAAAAGTCAGACTCGCCTGGTTCCTACCAGCCGAGGCGCAGCGGCACTGGCCCGGCTCAGGCTTTTCTTGTCGGACTCGTATTGCCCAAACCTTGGTCTTACAGGATCAGTACACTATCTATAGCTCTATTGCCATTTCCATGTCATATGTGTGTAGTAGTGTGTCAGTGTATGCTTCTCTCTCTGTCTCTGTCGGTCTCTGTCTCGCTTTCTTTCGCCAGACTAGAGGGGCTCTCGCTCCCTCTCTCAGTCTCTCTTTCTTTCTTTCTGCCGGGCTTAGGGGTCACTGTCGTGACCCGCAGGCTTTCAGCCCGCCCGTCCCTCACACTGTGCTAGTGAGCGGACGGCTTCTCCAGACTATGGCAGAGAACTACGCAGTGGGCTCCAAGTTTTCTTGCAGAAATCCCCGCCTAGAACACTAAACCCCGCGCATCCCGGCCTCATCACCGGGCCCCTGTGGCTAACCAGACCGCGCACCTCTCCCCTTCTAGGCGGGTTTCACTGCAAGGCTTCGGAGCTTTTGCAGCTGTTCTAGGCTGCAGAGAAATGCGAAAGTGCCGGCGGAAATTCTCCCCCACTTGTCAGGTTTGTCGAAAAACCACCCCACAGTACTAAGTCCCAGTAGGCACAGTACTTGACAAAGGGAGCTTGTTGAATTACGATCCCCCCGGCCTCGTAGCAAGAGGGACTGATTAGCGGCAGAGTGGCGGAACTGTCATCGTCATGTCGACGGAGTGCAACGAATTGTGGTAGGCGGAAAGAAAGCCGTCGAGTAGCGACAGGCAGCGTTCAGAAGAACCAAAAGTTAGGCGGTCTAAAGGTTGCATATGGTACAGGAAACGTGCATTCCCCCGGCAAGGGCAAACTGGTTAACTCCCCATTTCAAGGGTCAACTATGAAGAAACCCCCAAGAAAAGGGCCAAGGAAGGAAAGAGGAGCTCAACACAAGGCACGTCACCCCTCTCTCCCCCTCGCACTCAAACTCGGAAAACTTTTTCCTGCGCTCACTTTGCTCGCTGCGGCTCCTCGGCGTTACTTCCCCCAACTGCTTCGTGGTTCGTTCCCACTTGGCTGTCCCCCAAAGCGCTGCATGTGTTCTTGTACACGTTGTACCGCTCTCCAGCGGCTGTTGGGAGTCAGCTGGACTCTCTCGCCAGGTTCAGCGGGACGGCAAGCTAGCATCCCCAGGCTTTGTCCCGTGTCTGAAGGCCTTCCTTGTGGCCCCCACGGCCATGCTGCGTCCCTGGCTTCGCTTGCTGAGGCGTCTGGCTGGCCTTCCCCCTCCTCTTGGTCGTCACGAGGTGTTCTGGGGTCGCTTCCTCCCCAGTCTGGTGGGCTCTCTGTGTCCCCTCGGTCTTCATCTTCACTTGGCTGGGCCCTTGTGCTTGGCGTCGGTGCTGTAGCGGTTGCTGGCCTTTCCTCCCCCAGCTGACTTGCCGGCCTTTTTCGCATGCCCCTCGAGCTTTCCCCCTTCTGCGTCGTCCTCTTGTGTGCGGTAGTAGTCGCCCTGCTTGGTGGTGTGGCGTCCTCTTCCCCCTTCTGTCTTGCCCTTATGCAGCGCCTGATTTTGCTCGCACGCTTAAGTAGGTCAGGTACACGGTCGGGGTGCTTCATGGCATACACCCGTGTCTCTTGGGAGACCTCCGGCAAGTAGCGGTCGGCGATCTTGACGAGCCGATCGGCTTTCCCCCCCAGTTTCCGCCTGTGGTTTAGGCGCTCCTGGTATCGTCTGTAGTCAGCTGTTGCCTGTTCTGTCAACGCCTCCCCCGTCTTGAGGTTGGTGAGGATGCCGTCCATGTTCTCGGCCACTTCGCTGTTGATCCAGTCGTCAAGTTCCCCCGCCGGGAAGTTCAGGTGTAGTCCTTTTCTGGTTTTGAACAGCGTAGTCGCCGGAGCAGCGTCCCCACCTTCTGTCCCCTCGGCTGGTGCAGCTGCAGAAGTGCTTGGCAAAGGTACGGTTTGGGGGATGGCGTGGCGCGTCCCCCGCTCCGTGACACCGTGCAACCGGCACTGTGGATCTCGCCTCTCATGGGTCTTGCGGTACCCTGTGGTACACACACCATGCGCAAAGCGGCACAAGCGGCAGATTTTGGGAGCTTGCTCTTCTCCCTCCCCTCCTCCCCCTTCACGGTTCATCGCTCCGGTTGTCGTAGGCAAACGTCACTATCTCCCCGTCACTTTGTGATCACCGCGGCCTCGGGAGCGGTGGCGTCGGTGGAGAAGGCCTCTTTCTCCCTCTGCTTTAAGATGGTGGGGAAGTTGTCAGGTCCCCCACAAGGAAGTAGTGGTTCGAACTTGCCGTTCACGGATATAGCTGCAACGCGGCTATCCCTGACAGGGCCACTTGATGAGAAATGCGGCGGCCGGAAGACTCAAGCACCGCCGGAGGTAAGTGGACTGGCTCCCCCAGGGAGACACCCCGAGTCAACCAGCCACCTCCCTCCCCGATGCACGGGGGCGTCACAGGCCACCCGAGCAAAGGTGCAGTACTTGAGCCAAACTCTCTCTCTCTCTCTCTCTCTCTCTTTTTTCTTTCTGCTGGGCTTAGGGGTCCCGCGAGACCCTCAGGCCTTAGGCCGCCCAACCCTCACTCTGTTTTAGTGTTGGCATTGGGGTCAATCCTGGACACGGCATAGAACTACAAAGTATGCCCCAGGTTTACAAGTAAAAAGCCCCCCCGAACGCTAAACGCGAAAACAACCCCCGCCTCATCACCGCGCCCCTATGGCAACTGTCCTTAGCCCTTAGTAGGTTCGAGGGGGCAAGAAAAAAGCCGGTTTAATTTTCCCCCCTTGTTCTCACGCAACAAGGAGAGGATGCGAATTACCTGTGGAAAGCGGATCGGACATCGTCGCAAGGACGGGGTGCAGTGAATTGTAAAAGGCGGAACGAGGCGGCCAATCGGGCCAGCTTTTGGCAAAAGTGGGACCTAGTACAGAGTACAGGACAAGTATGTTGCAAAGGCGTGCTGTCGTGCAGTCCCCCGGCTGGGTTCGAAAAGGTGGTGGCTTCATCGAGCAAGCCTGGTATACTGTACTTCCCCCTTGTAAGGGTGTAAGGAGAAACGCGGGAACCAAGGTGCAGGGCAGCCAAACCGAACAGCAAACCGAGCAACAATCACAGACATGCCCTCCCCCCAGTTCCCTGTCCCTCGCACACTGGACTTTTTACATATCTTGGCGCTCACTGCTCTCACGGCTGCTTTGCATATGTTCTTGTACTCGTCGAACTTGCCACCACATGTTCGGCCGGAGGTGCACTCGTTGCTCCCCTCCGTGTCGCCGCGGGCTGCAGCTGGGTGTGCGCGGTCGCTCTTGTCCCAAGCGCCTTTCCCCCAGCACCAGGTTGGCATCTCCCCGTCGCCTCGGGCTGCGGCTGGGAGTGCGCGGTCTCTCTTGTCCCAAGCGCCTTTCCCCCACGTCCACGTTGCTTCCACTGGTTGCCGCACCGGCACTTGAACTCGCCTCCTCTCCCCTGCCATGGCCCATGGGAGCATCGTCTTCACCCTGTGGCTTGCCTCCCCCGTCAGGGTTATGTGGCTGTGCGCTCGTAGTGGCTGAGTCATCGCTCCCCCAGTCGACTTCCTCCACGTCGTGCTCTTGTCTCAACTCGGCTTCCGTGGCTGCTTTTTCTCCCCCTTGGCTTGGTGTCGTAGTCGGCTGCTTCGCTGTCTTCTTCGTGGCTTTCTGTTGTCTTCGCATTTTCTTTCGGATCTGACGCGCCTTTGTAAGCAGTGCTCCGGCCTTCTGCGGAAAGCGGATCAGGTGGGCCCGCGTCTCGTCCGCGAGGGCGGGCAGGTACTTGTCCACTATTTTTGTGACCCTGTCTGCTGTTGCAGCTATCTTGCACCGTGCTTTGAAGCGGTCCCGGTACTTTCCGTACTCCCCCGCGTCCTTCTGGTTGAGCGGCTCGTCGGTCTCGGCGTCCATCCACACCCCATCGTCTTCGTAGATCTCCCGCTTCCCCCATTTATCGAGGGGTCCAGGTAGGAAGTGGAGTCCCAATCCCCCTCGGGTCGTGAACCTGGTCATGTGTGAGAAAGGGATCTGCGGAGTTCTTCCATCCCCCGCCTCTTGTTGTGGTGGATCGCGTCCCTGCGTCACTGGTCGGCTCCCCGATCCCCTGTCACCAAAGCCGTGGAACCGGCAGGCTGGGTCGGAACGCTCATGTACTTTTCTGAACCCTTGCTGGCATATTCCGGAGCCTTGCCGACATAGTCTGCATTGCTTCTTCCCTGTCTGCTGTTGCCTCCCCCCTTTGGGGCCCATTGTTCCACTATACCATGGCAGTTTTTATTCACGGTGTCCCGCAAAGTCACGAACTTCCAGGCGTGGTTCTCCCCCACCCAGCCTGCTGGTTCGGTGAGCGAAGCGTCCCCAGGAAACTGGAAAGGAGGATGGTGAAGAAGGTCGGATCCCCCTCTTTTAGCAGGCCGAGGTAGATGGTCTTGCTGTCACCAGGTCACCGGACTGCAGATAGCTCACGATCGTGCCGGTCACCTTTATTGCTCGTTCCTCAGGGAGGCTACAAGGGCCTCTTAAGTCCAATGGCGGCGGGCGGTTGGTCTCAAGCACCGCTGGAACAACTGGGAAGGCTCCCTCGGAGGAACAGTCCGAGTTAACCCCCCAGCTGCCCCCCGATGCAAGGAGGCGACACACACCCCCAAGCAAAGGTGCAGTACTTGAGCCAAAATGGCTCTCTCTCTGTCTCTGCTGTTGCATGCAGAGGGTCCATCAGCGCCAGGCAACGCATGTATGCTTGCAAGCACGCGTCTTTATCGATCTCTTTATCCATGTATCTATTTTAATCACTCTACCTACCGAGCTACTTACCTACCTATTATCTGTCCAATCGAGTCGAATGTAATGCAATCCAATCCAATCCAACCCAATTAATCTATCTATCGACCTCTCTATCGATTGATCTGTCTACTTGTATGACATTTCTGTCAGAATGGCTGCCCATCTGTCTTTCTGTCTGTCTTTCTATCCATTTATCCAGGTCTGTATGTGGGTAGGTCGGGACCGGTAGGAAGATAGGTCGAGTAGGTGCATGTGCCGTTATCACCGTATTCAAGCTGGTGCGACTTGTCATGCAGGAAATCGGAAACATTGCACATCTGAGTTCTAACTTAAACTTATTCAAAGCGCGGGCGACCAAATTCAATTGGACTCACCTCTGGCTCAAGTTTTGAAGGGTTTGAAACTCCAAAGCTTTTTGTCGGTTGTGCTTGAGTTGCGAGTGATGTCAGATCCCAGCCCGCGAAGTGTAGCTTAAAGCACAGCAAACCTAAGATGGAATCCATGGCTTTTCTTGAATTTGGGGCTCTCTGATGTGCATGGGTTGCCCCAGAAATCTCAGACTCACGCCAGCGCAGGACCCCCTGAAAGAAGCCCGGATGGTCAGCAGAAGCCTCCACAACATGTCGGCTCGCTCTTGGAAGCGGATCTCAACCCTGGCTTCGACCTGAAGCCATAGCTCGAAGGCTGCGACTTTACACGTGCGACCCAAACTTCAAAATCTTTCGCTAATTGAAAAACTGGGATGCAAGATGATCTGCAAAAAGGGCTATATAACCCCAAGTTCCAGCCTGTGGCGTGAGCTTGGTGCTGCCAAAACCATGCACCTCGAAGCGGCCCTTCCTCGGAGAAGGCGAAGAAACTCTGTTTTGGACTCTCTGAGTCTGTGCGGCCAGTGCAAAGCTTCTAGCCGGCGCTGAAGATGGGAAAGCTTGCGCCAAGCGACATTCAGCAGGCGAATCGTATGAGCTTTTTGTCGCATCATGCAGCTGGCTTCAAGTCCCAGCCGGCAGTTCCTCAGATCTCCTTCTTCTGCAGGGAAGGTGGCAACGACCTGGGAGACTAACTATCCAACATGCGACGTCTTGTGCCGTGAAAGTATACAGGCGCTGCAAGCTATCAGCGACAGACACACTTGCGGGGACTTTGGAACGCCGAGGGACTGCTTCAACTTCTCTGCTTTGGTCTTGTCGGTCATGATGAGCGTGTATAGGTATCCTTGGGTCGAGCCACGTGCCGCGCGGTTTGTACACCTCATGCAAGCCTGATTAAACCCAAGTATGCTGTTTCAGTTCTCTTCACTGGTGTTCGGGCAAGGTCTTGAGCGGCGAGGTGGATATTCATACAAGCAGCGGCTGCAGCGGATCTTGAACTTTGTTTGAAGACCGTTCTTCTTGATCTTCACCTGCTGTCTGAGTCTAGTCAGCAAAAGCAGCATCTTGAAGACTGGATGAACCCCGCGAGTTTGCTTCCGAGCAGCCGAGCGCGCATCCTTTCGCCGGGCAATCTGCAAGAACTGACGGATTTCCGTGATCTGCTTGGGCCTGGACTGGGCGCCACCCATCAAAGCTTGAGAAGCAACCTCTCAATCTGCTTACCAGGAATGCTAGAACCCAGAGACACTCCGCTGCGAAGCCCACGAACATGCATGGATTATGCACTCGACGGTTCCCAACGCTTGGAACTGCCATTCTCAAGCAGGAATCTGATGAAGCGTGCCGACGGAATATTACAAGCCCTTGATTGCGCAGAAAGGCAGTAACCCTTGAGATGCTTGCGCAGCTACGCCGAAACTCTAAGTCAGTGGCATTTTTGTCACAAAGTGCCGTGGCCAGTCTTCTATCGCTTGAGCCAGTGCTGTCCTGCCCTGCGGCACAAAACACCTCAATTCAACTGTTAAGGCCGTTCAAGGCGGATTTTCACTTGAGAGCTCAGGGCGGCTGGTCGAGCTACTCTCACTCTCTTCGTGCACCAGCCGGCTCTGCTGTGGGCCCGGCTTGTACTGCCATCGTAGCATCGAGTCGGATGCCTTCCTTTGCAGAGCGCATACGTGGTCCAACAGTAGCACCCCGGGTACGTAGGCTTTCCTATCTTGGGTTACCTTTCTGGGTGCGAACTTGCGGGTGGATGCCAGGCACGAACTGCTGGAAGACTAGGACCCACTAGGAATTCACCCAGATTCGGATGCACGCTGTTGCAAAGCTTCATTTTGTGGAGCCTAGGCGGAAACTCCCGAAACCAACGTAGTCGAATGCTTGGGCTCCGCACCAGTTCTGGACAGGTGGACACTCGCAAGCAGGGAGGAGAAGCCTTTCCGCTCAGAGATACAGCTGCACATCGCAAAAGGCCAATGCCAAGCTTTTCTTCTCTAGGCTTGCTACGTAGCTACTTCCTCCACAGCTCGAACTGCGTTTTAAGGGCACGGCATCTTCCACAGAAACACGGTGTCCCGAAACCAAGCAAGCTCTGGGAAGAGCTCCAGCCTTGAATTCCCGTCATGTGTGAGGTGCCTACCGATCCTGCAAGTGTGCATGGTTCCTGTGAGAGGGCATCGTTTTTCGAGGCCCTTCAGACCTGCAATTTCCTGCATCGAGAGACCTTCGGGACCTCTTCTGCGTCGAGGCACAGTTCCGGACGCTCGCCGCTCCAGAGCTGCGGGGCTGCTCGCCGCGCAGCGTCGAGACCTCTCTGGGAACAACAAACAGCCTTGGACATCCTCCAATATCCTGGGAGGCCCTCTACAGAGAAGGTGGCATACGACTTTTGAAGAGACCGTTCACTCTGCCCTGCTTGCGGTATTGCCGCCCACCTAGACAAAGGGATATCTGCTCCGCAAGGGCGACATCACCTGGCATGTTCTGTGATCAGCCACGCAGACAGTCCCAACCATGAGGGATCATGTGCAGGCACGCATTAGAGCAGAGGAAACGAAATACGGGACAAGCGGATCATGTACAACCTGTGGCCTGTCTACATCGTCTGGCTTGCAGCACTCTCAAGAAACTTCCAACACCTTTGACACGAAAGCTTGGGCCATCAGAAGTATTGAGCTTTGTGGCTCGCTTGTAACAGCTACATGCAAGACATGCGCTTGCTGGCACTCCCTGGGAGTTTAACACGCAAGAACATTATGAAAAAACTGAAGCGAGCTACGGCTGCAAGAAGACTGTGCAAGATACAGTACACAAGCGAAGGAGTATGAAATGAAAGACAAAGCTTCGAACGAACCAAACAAAAATGAGACCATGAGCCTGCATGGTCCAGACTTGCTAGGCTTCGACACCGCCCACGGGCCCACCCATCCCCTTAGAAAGAATGAGTTCCCTCCCCCACGTCCCTCCCCCCAGTGCCCAGCTTTAAGCCTGCGTCATGTCAAGCTTATCCAGGTCCATCTACTTTTCTCAACACTGGCTTATACTTCACATATCTTCAGGGGAAGAGGACCCGCGCCGAGGCGCCCCCTTCTCTGATTTGGCTGTGGAAGAGGCTTTCGGGTCTGCAGAGGCACATACCTCTCTCTCTCGCTCTTTTCCATGCCGCTTTGCTGCGGCTGAGACTTATGTTCTTGTTCTCATATATCATAGCTTCATATGCTCCTCAACCTGGGTTGGCGTTCCGCGGGTCTGGGCCCATGGCCCTCGCTGCAAGCCATATCCTTGTCGAAGGCAAACACTATGTGGTCATCTGCGACAGAACGTCGCACACCTTCGGCTGTTAAAGTCTCAGAGTTTGACGGTGGCTTCATGGTTCGCTGAAAACTCGAATCAAATCAGATCTGCACAGAGCCGGCTACTACAAAGCCGTTTATCGTACGTTGTTGTTAGATGACACATTGCAACTTTGAGCGAAAACACGTCCAGATTTGCCTGCCTGGAAATCTCAGAACCGCCAAGCCCAAACTTCGTCTTCGTCATGCAGGAGTTTGTGAAAAACCGTCGGGACTTGAGACTTGGATGCCAGGAGTTGTGCGTAGTTCCAGAGATTGGTGTGGATTGAGGTGCCTTGTTGGTGGGGCTACAAACGCGAGACTTACACTTCGTAGATAACGATGACTTCGGATGATTTGTAGTGGAGGTTTCGGCGAGGCTAAGTCGGATAGGACCATTACCAGGACTCCAACTGTGTCATAACGCTCTCACAACTCGGACGCGACAGATGAGGTCTCAGAAGAATAAAACTCTTCTGGTGTGCCTTATGATGCCTTGCGCCTTACCGGAGCCCCAGTTCGGTCGGACTTCTACGGTATGTCAAGCAATATGGACAGACCGTTGCACAGAGAACGACGCATTCATATGTTTTTGGAGGTGGAGTGTGCAGCTATCCATGAATCTGATCCTGTGTCCACGGTAGCCATGACATGTGTAGAGATTTGCAGCGGAAGATTGATTACGACGAGGTTCTCGCGAGCTTGCGCCACAAAGTCGTCTGGCAGACTAAAATGTGCCCGAGACTTGCACTTGCAACATCTTGCAACTACGTCCGTATTGGTTTTCAAGAACGGTGGTGTAGCACCTACCCAGGGCAACCAAGGACGGCACTCGCGAAATAATCCAAAACGAGCGCACGCCTAGGCCGATGGGCTCATCGCATACATCTCAGTGCTTGAAAGAAAAACTTTCTTGGATTTGCATGCACCTAGGCTCGCGGCACCGCCGCATATTCGGGAGCAACCTGGAGCACAAGACGTTCAATCGTTCAGCAGCACAGGTCGCCGGAACTCGTCAAGCAAGTTTTTTTGCGCCTCAGCCCAATCCCGAAGGCGAGAATAAGTCAAAAAGGGTGTCACGGCGACTGCTTGTCGGTGGATATCACCGCAGATCGGATCAGAGTCGAGTCGAAAAGTGGGACCCATTCATATGAGTCAAGCACTGTAAGTTAGAGAAATATGATAAGACGAGCTCTGCAGATCGATCGCGCTACAACTCAACTGCAGTCTACTCTGGCTCTGTCAATCTTCGGGCGCCACACAAGCAGCCAGACTAATGGGGAACTTCGCGGTGAAAGACCATACAACAAGTTGATTCGTTTCCAAGCCGCTTCTATGTCAAGCTTGCCTGGGATCATGTGTCGCAAGTCAAGCCTGTGGCAGCGCCAACCAATCTCTTCCCCCCTAGTTTTAAAACCCCTCCGCGTGCGAGTACCAAAAGCTGCTTTTCGGCAAATCATATTTAAGGCTAACACTCGGGGCTCAATGTCCCAATCCTCGCTCTCCTCAGTGCTTTATGCTGAACCCTTGACGTGCAAACCCTGCAGTCCTGCCTTCCTCCGGTTGCCACAGCCCGCATTCCCCCTGCAGTCCCTGCACCCTCCGTTGCTGCTCTTGCAACCGGGAGACCCTTTGCACCCCCGTGTCCGCCCGTGTCCCGCTGGTTCTTGCAGCCTGCAGTGGCCTAGCAGTGCCTGCAGTCCTGAGACAGCCTTCGCAAGCGCACGTTATAGCACAGGCGCCTGGTTGCAACCGGAAGGATTTTTGATGGATCATGCCTCAGAGAGACAGCGACAGAGACAGAGAGAGACAGAGACAGAGACCGAGGCAGGGACAGAGAGAGAAAGAGCAACCAAGCAAATGTCGATGCAGGTTAGGCAATCAGTTGTAGGTTTCCATTCCTCAGACCTTTAAGCAATCCCTTCAAGGCCCCCAACTGCCCCGCAATTGCACTGTGGTCTCCCGAAAGGGGCATGTAAATCCGGGGCACGTTTAATACTAGGGGGGAAGCGATTTCTACCTTACATCAAGCAGACAAACGGGATTGCTCGCAGAAACCAGCATGAACTTCTCTTCAAACAAGCCGTCTGAGTCTGTGTCTAGGCGTGTCTGTGTTTGTGCTTCTTGTGCTCGGTTCCTTGCCCGACAGGATGGGAAAAATCCAAGTGTTCATGCAGGTCTTTGAAAGCAGCTCAAGTCATGTCGACTACGGGCTACAAGCTCAGGACTTCCTGGTGACCCTGAGCAGCCAAGAATTCGAGCTCCTCCATGTTGGAATACGGAGAGGCTCGCGCGTGATGCAAGTCTGCAAATTGCATCTGATGAAGCAGGCTGCCCCAGGGTGGCGTGTAGTCATCGGGGGTCGCGATTGGATAGCCGCCGTCGCTGTTTAGCCCAGCATCGCAGTCGAAGTACATCATTGGACTTTCGTGAGGGTTTGGCAAGCCAAACTGGTTTACCGCCGACGACACCGACAGCTCGGAATCGCAAACCACAGACGCTGTAGAGAACGTCTCTTTGCTGTCGGAAAAGACTGGACCTGACTCAACTGATCGTAACTCCTCTTGACCATGGGCATGAGTACAGTCTTCGCCGTAGGGACACTGCTTCCATAGAGAGTAGGAAGCGCAAAGCTTCGTCTTGTAAAGGTCTGGACGTCGACGTAGCTCTGCGATGCCGTGGGCGAAAGTGCAGCGACTCCCACGGGTACATTTGCCTTGTGAGAAGAACGCACAAAGCTCCGTCTGCTTCACTGGCTGCCGCTTCTCGACACGAGACCTCGACCTTCTCTGTGCCATCGCGCGACAGATAGTTTCGATGGATATTGGCACACTTTAAACTCCAAACTTTCGAGCCAATCCCAACTGGACCGGCCAACATCACTGTCCCTAAGTCTTTACTCTAGCTCCATGACATAGTGCTCCAGGGGCGACCCCTCTGCCAACAGGTTGGCTAGCACCAAACTTGGAGCGTGACATCAGACATTCCCAGGCTAAGGCGTGGCCAGACCCGCCTGTATGTATGCATGTACGTATGTATGTAATTATATACGTGTGGGAATAAACAGATAGATAGATAGGTAGGTAGATATATAGATAGATAGATGGATAAACAAACCGACAGACTAGATGTATAGGCAGCGAGCATGACACCTTCAACGCCATGTTCCAGGTCCGAGTGCACTCAAGGTAACGTAAAAAAGCGACAGCCCGTCTGCTAGTGCTGCTGGTACCGTCACAGCCGTTTGCAGGAGCCCCATTACTATCAGCGCCCCGACGACCAACGACGCCAGCGGCAGCTGCTGCAACAAACGAACCTACGAGAGTCACCACCTGCCGGCCAGGTACAGTAAGTGTCGCCTTGACCGAATTGCACAGCCGTCCGGTGGACCCCAACAATCTAAACAAGCAAGCATCGACTGACCGGGACTTGAACTTGCAACCTCCCAGGGGCCCTGCTAATAGCAAAGTCTCCGAGACCTCGCGGAAAGCGCCGGAGTCGACACCTGGGTAGGAATAATTATCCCAGAACGACACAAAAGCAGCAAAGCAAGGGCAATCTCTAGACTGGGTCCAGCCCTCAGCGGCCTTTTTACTGGATTGAAGCTGTTTTTTCGATTCGGACGTCCCAGCATCTCCACGGTACACTTCCGGCAGCGCATCGGGATCTGCGCATGCACGGCAAGTGTGGAGAACGAGTTCCCGGATGAAGTCTTTTAGAGATCTCGGGTGCCGCTGGCGCGGGACCGCCTGCAGCTAGGATTCTGCGAGGGACCGCTTTCTTGTGCAGGACGAGTATGATCTCGTGGATGCTCTGGCCTGAACGAACCACTTGGAGCACTTCTGGCAGGAAATGCCACGGCAAAGCCCCGGAATGGCCGGCCATCCATACAGCCGTCTAGCCCGTGTCAACGCAGACCTTTTCGTGCGAGTCGTGCGAGGCTGGCATAGCATGGATCTCTCTGCCACTCAGCACTTCATGGTGTGGAGCACTCCCCGAGCCAGCTGCGAGATCATTTCTGGCACCACCTTCGGGCTTAACGCTGCTTCAGGGTATCGGGGTCGAGGCCGAAACGCAGGAACAAGGTAAGTCTTGTAGAGCTTAGAACCCTGCAGTGCACAGTAGAAGCCCCTGTGAAAGCCCCCCACTTCCCGCGGGCCGACCACATTCCCGATTTGCTTGTAAAACCCGTTCCCAGGGTCGATCTCGTAGGTCTCCGGAAATCCCATCCTTCAAGGCCGGTTCAGGCTCACGATCTCTAGAAGACCAAACTGGGGAGTTGAGGAATGGGAGGAGGACGTGAACTCGCACAGTCACAAACCAAAAAGGCCACTTAGCGATTCCTGCCAGGGCGCAGTCGTGCACACTCTCTCGTGGTGAAGAAGCGGGGGAAAGTCTCCGAGGCCTCTTGTGGACTTACCAGTTAAGCTGACGCAGTGCAGAAGGCAAACTCCCAGCAGAATGAGCCCAGCGCACTTGCTACGTTGTTCAGTATCTGGTATGCAAAGGGTCGTTTGAGATTGCTTGGAAGGGACTCAGGTTGGCTGCGCGCTTTGTATGGGTGCAGAGGAGAAAGCAAGCATGCAGCATGCGGATAAAATCTCCTTCAAAGCCAAGCCACCACGAACTGCGAGGCCCGCCGCCAGTCGCAGCGGTAGGTTGAACGAAGGGCTCCTGCCCAGTCTGCATCCGATGTGAGCAATCGCCTTGGCAGGGGTCGAGATAGTGGGTAGTGTCAGAATCTGGGCAAGCGCAAACGTAATTGGTCAAATAGGCTTAGGATGGTTGCCCATGCGATCTCATGCATTAAATCAAGGAATGAAGGGCTTCGGGCTGCGGATTTGGGAGTGCAGGATGCGGCAGTCGAGTGGCTTCCGACGAGCAAGCTCCTCGCTGCCCTCTTCTGCCACGACCTGGACAGCGAAAACGCTGCCACTAACAATGTTCATGATTGCATGATGTTCTCGCTATTTGCCGCCTCCGGCACAGACTCTGCAGCAGAAACACGAACATGCTCGTGCAGTACGCTCGTGCAGAACTGTACGTGACAGAGTCGGAGCATGCTGCAGCCTTGTCCCACTGCGCTGCAGTCCTCAGCTACCAGCTGACATGGGTCGTCACTACTTACACGGGTGTGCAAAGTCCTTCATGGGCTGTCGTAAGCTAGATGCAGACCTTGTTTCCGCAAATCACCCTTTACAAGACTGCGGGCGGAATTCTCCAAATCCGACGCATGACCGCCTCTAACCTGGCTAGGCCCAGGGTCAGGAAGGTGTCTGCGCTGGCGTGCGGCTGCAAGATTTCGTGGAATCTCTTCCTGAGTCTGAGGCTTCAGAGTCAGGCCTCGCAGTACAGTATGGACTCTAGGACTGTAGGGCCAATGGTCACCTCAAAATAATGAATGACTCAGTCTACTCCACCAGTGCACCCTGCAGCCTCCAAAGCCCGGATCCGAAGCCTACGACTCGACTTTCTGAGGCCGGCATCGGCTTTTGCTCTGCAGCTTCGAACTTCGCCCAATCGATCACCTCACCACTCCAACGCTCGCAGTCTGTAAGCCATTTCCAGTGCACTGACATCAACAGCTTCAAAGGCATACCAGGCACAGAATCGCCCAAAGCCGTGGACTCGCCGCCTGTGCCAAGGTCAAGGAATGCCACCAAAATCACAACAGTAGTACTTCTGTAGTTACTCACATGCGCCGGCACAACCCTTGACTCCATGCATTTGTTGCCCCGCCGAATCGAACGACTCCGGCATCTTCCGGTGAAGGCACCGAGCTCTGTCTTGCCACATGAGAATCTCTCAGATCTTGTCGAATGCAGACCTTGCGGGCTCAAGAAAACCCACATGCCCAAGCAGGAGATGTACGATGTACATCGATGTACCCAATCTTGGAATCCATCTGACCCCTCCTGGCCCCTTCTTTGCAGGTGCAAAGCTAAGCCTAAGCTCTGAAGCTCGCCTCGAAGAGTCCGAGCAGCAATGTACACACGAAGTCTCTTCTGGGGCACGCATCTGCGCGCATCGAGGCTCCGCCATCCAACGGCATACCCCGCTCCGCGCAGCTGCGCCACAATCTGCGCAAAGTCCTTGTGGTTGGTTCATTTGGAATCACGGACACGGATTACTTGGGAGATAACAAGATGGTCATTATCGAAGATTGAAAAGCAATGCAGAGCCCATAAGGAAAATCTTCCTGAGTGGGTAAAGTCGCGTTTCCGGACCTGTGGTTCACCAAGCCCTGCACGTTCTCCAGCAACGCGGCAGCCGGTCGACAGCATCTCCTAAGTCTGAGTGGCGTACGCTCGGTCTCGGGGCTGCAATGGGCTGCGCCCACGGGCGGGCAGCGCAGGTAAAGCCCGGAGCAAGGCCACGCATCCCCCCTCCGCCGAACCCCGCTGACGCTGACAATGCGCGCCCTTTGAGTCCGCAACCCACTCAGGAATTGACAGAACATCGCCTCGCTGCAGGGCCGGCCGCGGGCTCGGATGCTCACGGTGCTCGCCCCCGGCGACATCTCGCGCGGCCCGGTGGAAAAACATGGAAAAACGAGGGTTCTGATGAGCAGGGTCGGCGGCACTGCCCGTCGCCCCTTATGCTAAAGCAAACCCGATTTTGTGCTGACCGTCTGTACCGGCTACCCATGCACGAAGCCTCCTGCACACCTGTCTAGTCTTCCCAAACAAGACAGCTGTTGCGGTGGATTCGCAGGTTGCCACCACCCCGAGAAAGACACATCGCTCACTGCAGCTCAAGTTCAGAATTCGAAGGACTTCCCACACCAGCTCTCCTTTTGCACAGTCCAGCCCGGCAGAATCGGGGTTGTAGCAAGTGTAGCTCCTTGGCAAGCATCATACATACGCTGAAATTTAACATGTGCTTGGTTAGCTACCTGTGGTGGCATTGTTTGCCACCGCATCTTGCCAACATGCTCAGTTGCAAGAAAACGCTAGGACCTTAGGACATGCGCCGGAGGAACATCAAATCGAAGGGCTTCATTGCATTCTGATCCGGCGTGCCTGCATGATGTAATTCGAAGCCGCAGATTTATTAAGATAACCCGGGAGACGCTTGTGGCCAAGGCAAGGTGCTGGCAAGGAAAACCGGCGGCGAGGAGATCGAAAGCAGGCAAGTCGTCGGCAGAGATGGAACGAACATCCCCCAACCTTGGAGAAAGAATCTGGGCTGTGACTATTTATGCCTGCTTCTTGGAGCTAAAATGAGCCTTGAACTATTGAGTCCCCTCTGGAGCCCTTCTGACGTTGAGGGCCAAACAAGCATGTGCCTCAGCCGAGGCTTTTGGACGACGTGCTCCGATTGAACCAGAATCCTGCTTTATCATACGGAGCCTCGGAGGTCAGTCTTTAGGAATTCGTGGGCGGTCTAATCCCCTGATGTTGGTAAGCTTAGTTGACCCCTTGGCCTGCAAACGCGCAATGCCTCCATGTACTCTAGACTACTCACGGAACTTCAGCACTCACACTCGGACAAGCCTTGGCGAGGTTCTCAAGTCCCACGACAGGCACATGTGGCCCAAGCCATCATACGTTGACGATGACGACAGCGAAACATTATCCGCACCGCTAACTGAAACACCTGTCCCCTCAGCCATTCTCATCATCCTCAAGCTCCAGAACCATGCAGCCCAACAGACACGCGCGTCCAGACAGTCCAAGTCCACTCATCTCACCACCCCAGAGCAAAATGCCCTTTCAGCCCAGCATCACATGCACCCAAATTCATTGCATGCACATTGCTGGAATTCCATGCACCTGTAGCCAGTCAGAAGTGTACTCGGCAACTCACGGAACTTAGGGGGGTAAGGGGAGGGGGGGTAGAGGACTACACTTCATTACATAGGCCTTACTAAGTCCATATTATGGGTATGAACGCCCCCTACCCCCCTACCCCCTAATGATCCTTATGAAATTTCTGGCATGTGAGCTCAACCTTCTCTACCAAAAGAAGCTAAGGCTTCGGCGGAGCCGCACCCTCGTTTGATGGAAAGTTTCGCCTGCAGGGTACACTGTCCATCTCACGTTCCAGCTGCAAGTACCAGGGTCCATGGGACATGATTTCGACAAGCTGTCTTCTACATCTCAAGCATGCAGGACATAGAAACTGCGCCCATGTGCAGCACACGTCGTTGGCCGTCCCAGACAGGCTTCCAGCTCATAACGAAATTTCGACCATGTCACATGTACGTCCGCCGCGCCGCTGTTTTGATCTCGGAAGCGAAGACGCAGCGACCACCAACGGCCTGGATGGAAAAAGCAGGGCTCATCCCGCTGTCTTCCAACTTGGCCGAGGTTTACGGGACTTCAAGACACTACTCCTTTCAAGATCCCAGAGTTTTACGGCCTGAGTTTATGTCCTAAGCAGCACGAACGAAGAAGAGGAAGTTGGCGTCGAGAGAGCTTCAGCGAGCTATTGCTCCGAGCTTGAGATTGACAGCACAAAGAGGCGAATCATCAGGGCCGTCTTTCGAACTCGATCTACCCCCTGAAGATAGCATCTACCAGCACAAGTAGCACAAACCAAACACCTAGCGCAAAAAGGGAATTCTGCCAAAAACCATGAAAAAAACCTATGAGTCAATGATGTCCGGACCTGCGCAGTGGCAGCGACTGCGATACAACGTCCGCATTTGACAGTTCATTTCACTGCCACGCAGGGTACCAGCATTGTACGTTTTTCCCAGTAAAGAGCGGTGCAACTCCTATCTCAACTGATTCAGTCACACAGTATCGCCATTTCGCAGCTCAAACGTTTAATCACACTGACTGTGTATAATATAATACAATATTTTAATATGTATGTATATATACATATGTATCCATTTACAATGTCTGTGTATGTATGTACGTATCTAAAAATACACATGTCTTTGTATTGTCTCTGTTCAGCAAAAAGATCTCGTGGAGTGGGATCCAATCCCAAATATGATGCAAACTGATGATGCGGCCTCGAGCCCCAGACGGAAGCCACCGATGCCCGCGAACAGTTCACAGAAGGTGAACCTCCGACAATCAAACTGGCACAGGCAGAGATCGTGTGCGTGGTGCTCGGCAACTGTGCCACCCAACCCTCTGAGCTCTCCCTCGCTTCCTTTCGTAAGGGCTTGACGGGAGGCTCACGCTCTTGCGTCTCTGTCTGCCGCGTGCTCACCACAAAGCATGACGCATCGGGAGTTGCTCCCGCACTGATCGCAACATGCAGATCGTCGTTCAGCAGTAGAGACGCGATGCGGTCGACTGCAGCACGAAGCTATGGCACAACGGCAGAAGCATAAGCTGAGTGCCAGAACGGAAACACGAGTTGTCGGGTCTGGGCAGATTCTCTAGTGTCGCGCGCCGCGCGGCTTGACGCAAGAGCTTGCGAATCTGGAAGCCCAAGCAGGCCTCGGCGGCGGCGACGCGGCAGCACATCGCCTCCAGGCCTCCCAGAAAGCATTTGCGAATTGTGTCCGATGCCTTTCGGGCTGGAGTTCGGCTATGGGATCTCAAGCTCTCATGGAGTTAGAGAGCTTAGAATCCGGCCTGGATACTGGCTCCCCGCCAGCGCCTGCAGCCTCTGGCTGGCTTCAAGACCAATAAAGGTGCAGCCCGCACTCTACAATGACAAACTCACTGCTGCATGTTCCCATCAAGTTTGGAGCTCCTCCGGAGAGCTGGGTCCACCGGTCTGCAGCGACTCTACCGGGTCCGCCCTCAAGCTGTTCATGAGGAACAACAAGTTGAAACAGATTCAACATGATTTAACCTTATAATTGGCGCCTATTCTTCGTCCAGTCCTGAAGCCCATGTGCCACTGAGGGGCAAGGCAGGGAGCTGGGGCGAAGATGTGGCAGCCACCGAACTGGGCAGCGTCCTAGCTCCTGGGGCGCCGTAACGTGCGCAAGCTGGACAATGGAAGCACGGAGCGCGAGAGAGCAGTAGAGGGGGAGGGAGAGAGAGAGAGAGAGAGAAAGGGGGACTGGCGCCGAGTGACGTGGGTCTCGACTTCAAAATTCGGAGGGTTGGCTGGACCAAGCGATGAGTGCTCCGTTAGTTTGGGCATGTCCTGCTGTAGCTCCGTGCAAACGCGAAGCAGTGCCTCCGGAGATCAGGGTCCCAGGGCTCGGATCGGCTATGCTTTTCAAAGTACGGAAGTGCCTTTTGCGTACCCCAGACAACATGCAGAAAGAGAGTCCGAACGACCGACTGTGTACGATTCTGATGCTATCGGCCGACCTCCAAGACCTCGGCAATGTCCGAATCCACTTCCGCTCCCACCCAGGAGGTCAAGCAAGCAGGCCTCGGAGTGGCTCTGTGGCCTCGAAACCGCGCGCTGCCTCGCCCATTAGCCTCTTCTAGTTTCAAGTTGCCCTGCCGTCGGCAAAGAAAGCCGTGAATCTATGCTGCATGGCGCAGCTGGGCACCAGGGAAAGCTCCATTGTCAGCAACAAGAAGGCGTAGACACATTTATTCGCCGAAACAAACTAGTTCTGGTATGATCTCTGACCTTGCGCAGGGGGCGTGGGCGGATGAAAGTGGATGGCTGTGCAGTGAGGGAGGAAGCACATAGAAGCATGCCTCGAACCGGCTTGCGAGCTATGGCATCATCTGCCCACCATGACCATGAAAAAGCCAGCGCGAACATGTCCGTCTCATACAGCCATGCCGCAAATCCGCTTCATCGAAGGGTCCCCGCCGAGCAGCCAGAGAATTGAGAGAGTTCAAGATGGTAGCTCCGTCCTGCATCTGTTCATCAACTGCCCACTTACCTCGCTGGTGCATCCACATCACAGGGGCCGGCATCGCTACCTCACCAACCCCACCTGCAGTCACATTCAACTCGGCGGAACCCAGCACCGAATCAAGCCAGCACCCCCCGGACCTCAACTTCCCAACTCACGAACACAATTTTGAGGGGTCTTTTCAAGAACTCACAGGTCTCCTGGTTCACGTGGATTGCATGGTGTGCCTCTGCCGGTGCGGGCTCCGGCTCCTGGGACCGGCTCGACATGTGGGATGGCTGCCGTGTTAGGGTCAGACCACCTGTCGGACCTGTCAGCCGCTTCCAGATTAAAGCACCTAAAGGCCAAGCTGTCAAAAAGTTCAACAACCAGGCAAAGCCCGCAATGTTGGTTGCAAGCAGCATATAGTGTCAGAGGCTGTCGCTCGCGGCACCACCGCCCAAGTGCCTGCATGAAATGTTTGATACCCTTGAGGGCAAGCATTGAAGTCAGCACAGCAGGTTTAAGCGCTGTCGAAGGTTCTAAGTGCTAAGGGCCGAAACTAACACAGGAGCCCACAACATAGAATCCGAAGCATATGGAGAGCATGAAGCAAGGACTTTAACATAGCTTTCGAGCTTGACTTCGAAATGCGAGGCATTCACGACGACAGCCCACCAGCGACACTGCTGGAATGGATCGAGGTCCCAGCTGCATGTCTTCATGAAACCTCCGCGTCGACTGGCATGCGGAACTTTCTGGGTTCGGGAGGTTGTCGGGCGACTCTGACGTTGAAAACCAGAACCATGTCTTCGAGGCTCTTGTCGAAGATTTTCGTTCGATGCAATGACGGGAACCTGCAAAGGCTCCGAATAGCTTGCGGAGCCGCTCACCCCGAACCTCACGTCCCACGAACAAATCACATGTCAAGCCCGTGTGCTGAAGAGTGGTCCCGTCCGAGTCCCGTCGGTAACCCAGAAACCGTCAGCCACGATGCCTCGCGGATGCTGGCACTCCTGAGTGGTGCATCCAACGTTTGCTCTGCCAAAGTCCGAGCCTTTCACGCTTCTCTCTTGTGCCGGTACACCCGCCCACGCTTAAAGTGGGGTCTGTCTTGTGTTGATATCAACATTCGCGACGTCACTCGACATGACCTATCCTGATCAAGTCAACAAAGAAGGTAGCAGCTAGCAAGTCTAGCATAGTCTAGCAAGTTTCGAAGCTCAAGTTCTGCAGAATGCTACGACTGCTACGACCCTGCGGTCGAGGCTCAACGAAGCGGGCACCACGAGGGCACCGAAGGCTCCCTCGTCGATGGAGCATTCCTCTCAGAAGATCCCTCCAATTTCTGAGATCAAGGCTTCAGCCGAGGATATTAGTTCGGCCCAGTCCTTGGCCATTCGCTCCCCCTCGCACCGGGCAAGCTGCACGGGGCTCCGTGGATGATGGGCGAAGGCGTGTCTCCATCTCGGTTTCGCTTTTCCGTGTCTGGACGGCTAGGACGAATGTCACGGACACTAACCATGCCCCAAATGCCGGTAGGTAGGCTACATGAACCTGCTCACACCTTGACACCATTCCATTTCCTCTATTGCCACACTGAAAAACCTGCCGTGCAATGCAGAACCTGCCGACGATGGCCAAAAGTGAGCTGCGGAATCCACAAGTCTTGAACCAGTGCCAAATACCAACGGTTCATGTCGATTTCTGGAATACTACTTGGCTCCTCGAAGACGATGCATCGTCTTGAGATGATCTCAAAGTAATTGGGAGTCTCCGCAGCCAGCGTCTCGAAAACGGGAGCCAGCATTGCAACACGTCGGCCGCCCGCCAGGGACCTCCTTGGATGATCACCTCGAACGTCGCTGGCTACAATGGCCGTCCTTGAGTCACAACCAGCCAGGTAGGCAAAGACAGCAGGATGCAGCCGACCAGAACGCGACGGAGGCACTAAACTTAAACATTCAACTTTCAAGCCGGAATATTTGGGACTCTAGGAGCATTCACGTCGACGTCCAAGATGTTCTCAAGCAGCGCTTGGTTGCTCAACACCCAGTCCAGAACCCGCACATACTTTTCCACGGCGTCTAGAGAAACGAATGACGGAAATACCACATCGTCTTCTGCCCATAGCACAGGAACAAACAGCATGCGGCATACGACTTTCACGAACATCATATACCACATGTGTCGGAGATCTTGCAAATCAAAAGAAGCTGCTGTGCTTAGATATGCGGCAACAGACGAACGCATTCGCGCTTCATCCAAGCTGGGCGTCTCTCCGGTGCACCTGCTTAGTGGACCATACAGGAAGGTCCAATACAGCGTGACTGTAAACGCATAGAGGTGCGACTCTGTTGCATACGGAGTGAAGTCAATAATGCAAACAGTTGCCTTACGACGCGCGCTGTCTGCATCCAAGACGGAGATCATCACGTTTCCCAAGCCCATATCACCATGAGTCAGCTGCTTCGGCAGTGAGCTGTATGCTTCGCGATGCTCTGCTAGCAGTGCCAAGGCGCTGTCTGCGACTGCCACACCTTGCCCTGTCTCCAGCAGCAGACTGAACTTCGATAGTTTTGGGCGCACGTAGTCAACCAAGTAATCAATATCGTCCGCCTCATCCCAGTGATTCCTGTGGCGGCTCACCCAGTCCGGCACCTCTACCCTTTCATCCCCAGCTACACTAAGTGACTCATCACCGAGAAGCCTTGAGCAGCTTCGAAGTGCCGCGTTGAAAGCTGCGCAGCCGGCACAAGTCCCTGGAATCCAGTCGGCATGCTTGCCCTCCCAGTCGTAGTCCACGAATCCCATGAGTCGCCGCCAGACGCTCAGCCCGTTTGACGACTTCACCCGTGGCATCCCGGAAATCCCTCCCAGCGATGATGTGCGGCTCGCACATGCAGCCATGCCTGCATCTTCTGAAGCCAACTGTGCCGTCAGTGTGGGGGCAACTGGCTCCGGCACGGTTACGAATACGACATTCGCATTCGTCTCTCCGTTGCCCGTCGCTCTGCGAAGATCCTCGTTGTAAGCTGAAAGCTCCTCAGCCAGGCGCGGAAGCAGCTTGTGTCGCAGCCGGAGGTCCGCATCGTCCTCGCCACTTCTGACAAAATAGTCCTCATGAGCAACATCGGCTGCCATCTTGCCAGGATCTTTGCACTCACGTCTCGTGCGAACGTAGAAGTACTGATTCGGGGGCCGTCCTGGCGCCGTCTCAACCATCTCAATGTCTCCGAACTCGGCATACTCGTAGCAGAGATGGTTGAGGGCTGCTGGGTGCTGGAGTTCACCGGAGTCGCACATGGATACGTGAAATCGCGAGGCTGCATGTTATTTGGAGGCTCAAGCTAAAGCCAACAACGGCAGCGGCAAGACCATTACGCATCTAGTTCTGCCACGGCACGGCTGTTGCTCCTGAACAACTCATAAACGCGAACCGATATCATGGCCTTTCATCCGACAAGCTGCCACGTCTTCAAGGATCCGTCAACCGTGCCCTGTTTCCTCTAACGACGGGTTGACATGTGCTGAAGCATTTTAAAACATCTAAGGCCCTGAGGCACATGCCGAAGGGTTGCGAGGGTCCGTCTGCAAGGCCACCGTAGTGCCTCGGACAACTCACCACGGTCGGTCTACGACAGGACTCCACAAGTGCATCGAGTCGAGTATGAGCTAGAACTACCATAGCCGTAGCCTCATAGCTAACTTCGACCCGCTGCTGCTACCAGTACAACGTGAAGACAGACTGCATGCTCGCGGCGGTGTGAAAGGTGGAGGTGACAGTGATGGCTGAGGCTGAACTTTGACAAGCATGAAGTTAAGCAGTGCTCTGCATCCCTGCCGAACGTTGAGGTCTTAAAACGTCTGTGCCCAGCGTGCCCATGTCCCGGCTAATGAGTTGCCGCAGCGCATTGTCGTGAACCCGCAAACTGGTCTCGGCCCAACATCAAGACAACACCGCCAAAAAAGCCTTTTTCATGCCGGAACATGCAAAAAAAGCCCTGGATGGAACAGAAACTTTCTCACTGGTTTCCATCAGTGGATGCGCACGGCGACAAGCTGAGCTCTCGCACAGCGAAGCCAATGAGCCGTGCATGGAGCCTGTAAGTGGGCGCCGAAGCAGCGCATCCTCTCCAGCTGCACACAGCCAGGCAACACAATTTTACTTCTGTCAGATGCCGTCACCTGTTTTATAAGGTGCACTGGCCGACAACCTCTCTGAAACCTTGTAGCTCGCAAGCAAGAGTCAGCCAGAGCTGTCCATGATGGCAGCAATCGCCGCAGACACCACCACCTGCTGCTACACAAATTCTGTGGCGCCGCTGTTGCACTTTGCAGCAGACCTTGCTTGGAAGTAGAACAAGCTGGGCCATGATGCTCAAACCAGACCCGCATGTTCATCCATGAGCCGTAACCCCTGTGTCCGACCTCAACGACAAACCCGACACAAAAATTCTGAGTCTCTAAATGTAAACACATGTACTTTGCCTATGTACGCATGCATTCGTGTATGTATACACCTACATACTACTACTGTACATGTATTTTCACATTTACATCTACATTCACATTGACATTGATATGTATGTCTGCTTTGTGTTTAACATATCCATGTTTATACATGCGTTGATCCTACCCAGAGCGATTAGTCTCTTACCAGTACAATGGCAAACTGCCTTCACTTCCCTCTCTATCAGACAGCATGTGCAAGGCGCCCGAGCACCATCGGTCTCTCGGCTTGCTCGCAAAGCGAAGCAAACCGCCGCGAAGTGCCGCCTGAGACGCCGAAAAAAAGGACTCCTACATCCTACCTACCTACCTACGTACGTACATACATAGATACGAAGACATGCGCATGTCTTCCCATATGCATACACACATGTATGCGATGGCAAACCGCGTGTACTTGATGTTGTCTCCCGTTCCCCAAGCTCCTACATTTTCCGCCTGGCTTTGGGTGCTGAGAGTCCTCGTTTCCAACCAGCAGTATGATTCTTGTGGGCGATTCCCGTGAACAGGGCTCCACCACGACAGACAATACATCCAAATCCGAACCATCCCTCATCGACCTTCATCTAGGAAGATGGGGGCCTTATCGGCATATGCGGAGCGGAGATTTATTTGGACTCGACTCGACCCCACAGGAATCGAAGGGAGACCGTCGAATGAAGTGTCTGGTGAGGCCGTAATGAACCCTCCATTTCCCAATCTGGACCTTTGATCGACGCAATCGAAATACCTGAGGATCTGGCGCAATGAGGTACAGATGCCTCATCAAGTCTGCCTTGCAAGCTTAATCCGCAGGGTCACGAGTATGCATTTCAGGAGCTGCTGTAGAAACGTGTCAAACGCAGCCTCGTGCTAGCAACCAGACTGAAACGAAGCTTCGGCGCGCTGGGCCTTGGTCTCTTGCTTCATCTCCTGCATCCAGAAACATCGCGTGTCCTGCAGAGCGCTGTGGCCTCTAAACATGAAGGATTCGCAAGAGTTCGGCTATCGAATCCCGACACAAGGTCACAACTTCTGAGCATTGGCCTTCCCAGGATGATCTAGAGGCAGTGGCATTGGCAGAATCTGTGTCCTCGGCAGAAACCGTTCTGATGCGGGTCGTTCTTCAAACTTCAGCTGTGCCCGTTTAGTGTGATTTGGGAACGGAAATCGCGAAGCGTCTGCGTGGACAGTGCGCAGGCTCAGCAGACAAGGCCGTCCCTGAGGCGTCGGCAGTAGTCGTGCTATCAATGCAAATCTCGTCAACGCCTCGGAAAAGGTCCTAGCTGCCAGAATCCATACCAGAAGAGGGTGAACTAAACTTCTAGGTCCTAGTTCTGAAAACAGCCAAGCCATAACAGCAAAGAGCCTGCTTGTTCATGCTTAAGATGTCTGCATAGCAAGAGGTGCTGCAAAGTTTCCAAACCGCTATCTTGTCCGACGCGGGGTCCCGAACACCAACGAATGGGCTGAAGACTGCCCATATCACTCGCCCTGCTGCCTGAAGTTTAGCTGAAGCTTGGGCATGTCCGGCACATTTTCGTCACTCGCGCTGGACGAATTTTCGGCAGGACTAACAGACGACAAACACATTGGCTTGTCCGTTCATCAGCAACTCGGAGTTTCTTCTTCTCAAACTCCCAGTACGGCAGCCCGAAAAGGGTGGCGAAACGCCTCTTCGTAGCCACCTCCGTGAAGGATGAAGCCAGGATCCAAGGCTTCTTCTCATCCAAGCAATTTCGCGCAATCTGCGAGGCATCGTTGTACTTCACTTCCTCATCTGGTCCTACGATGACCAGCCTGGGCCAACTTCGTACGTCCAAGGGAACGCCATAGCGCTCGAAAATGATCGAGTTGTCGCGAAAAGGAACAGCCAACCATGGCATGCCCCTCACAAAGCGATTGAACTCCCTTGGACCACCTCAAACTGATCGAACTCCTCTTTCTTCACGGCCTTGTACACTTTGATGAATGCTCGAACGAAGCCACAACAGACGGGGCCATTGGCACGGAACAGCAGTCCCACCACCTTGCCGGAGAGAACATCCTCGGAAACATACTCCCACCCCGCCAACGTGTTCTGCGGCGCCTCGCTGTCGCTCAGCGCATGGCGTGGCAGAGGGATTGGCCTCAAGCCTTTGCCGCGCTGCAGGATCGACAATGTGCCCTCTGATGTGCGCGCCGGCTCTGGCCTGCTCTGCAGCCTTCTCAGCCATGGCAAGCAGAAGGAAGGCTAAGGGGGAAAGCAAGCAGAAGGAAGGCTAAGGGGCTTGTGGCTGCTTCATAAATACATATATCAGGGCCTTCATACTTAGAACAGGGTTTAGCGGTATATTGTGAAAGTACTCTACAGGGGCTATTTGGTGGCTTTTAGTATTCCGTAAGGCTTTGGGTCTAGCAGCTGAGTGTCTGCGCGTGCGAAATCGACACCACTCCTTGCAAAACAGCTGCGACTACTGAGTACTGCTGATAGTAATACAACTGAAGCGGCTCTGATCGTGATGCAAACGATGCAAGCTGAAGGGCTTGAGCCGTAGCCATGCGTCCGGCATATGCTTCTGACGGGGACTGTTCGGTTGTGGGAAGTTTCTTGACATCGTAAGGATTCGCAAGGCCGTAAGGGCACAGCGAGCATGAAGCACCCCTTCATCTGGTCATGACTTTCAAAGCTTCGCGTTCTGAGATGCCAACTGATTGTGACATGTGCTCCGACTGATTGCAGAGCAGGGTCAGCCTAGCTTCGGAGTGAGCCGTGGATTCGAGGGCTCTAGATTGTCCGGATCGGTACAGGGCAAGCCCAAACAACAAACTCTAAAGCTAGCAATGCTGGGAAAGCTTCCAGCACTTCCACAGGACGGCAGATTTAGAGTGATGGGAGTGTGAACGAAACAGCTTGCAAAGCCCCTGCGGTGTCACCTGTCGATCCAAGCCACGGCATCAGGTCCTACGCCCCTACGCCCTTCCTCAAGTGCAGCGATGCGGCAGATGCGATGCCAAACGGCAGCAGTCAGAAGCTTCAAAAGGATTGCGCACTGCCTCTGTTGCGGACTCAGTTGGGTTGGCTCGAACAGACAGGTTCACTTGCCAGTCTTTAGCTGGCAATGCTCGCGCAGAGCTACCAGACAACCCGCACTTCAAGCTACTACCGAGCTGCAGCTGAAGTGACGACGGTACCCGAGACTCCGGACAGCTGAGTCGATCCTGGATTAATCATGCTTCAGGAGCCGGGTCCGAAACACGGACATTGCAACGAGACGGGGATGGGATGCATCTGGAATGCATACACCCGGGGCGACCACCACAGGCAGCTCGCTGGTAGGAACAGAAACGGAAACACGGGGAGGATCCACCTGCACCGGCTGCACCGGTCCGTCGGTTGCAGTTCTCAAGTTGTAACAAAGCTGCGCTGACCTTTGGAATGGGAAGCAGCACTGCCTTGAAAACCTGGGGCCTGCAGTGTCCGGAAATGCTCCACCTGAGTTACGCATGCCTAGGCTGCCTGACCAGAAGCTCGAGAAATGCAGGCCTGCCCTTTGAGGTGTTCGACATCCTCCTCCTGAGCTGCAAGCAACACGTCTGTTTGGGCTCCTGGCCTTTCCACGTTCGGCGAAGTGTGACGACATGGCCCTGTTTGGAGGAAGAGGCAGAAAGTGGAACTCTGAAGCTAAAGCCTCACGTGCAAGCAGACCCCAACTTCGTGCAAGCACCCAATACTCGTAGAACTCTAATGCAAGGGTGTCCAGCAGCCGCTCGAAATCGTTGAATAGCAGCTCATGCGCAGGCCGCCCGCCTTCGCGACTCACAAATGCACTGCATGCTAGATTCTGTTAGATGTCTCTAGCCCGGGAACGATCGTAGCACCACTGCGTAACTGCACCCGCGAATGACCTCAGTTTCGCACCTGAGACCACCTGAATTGGGCAGGCTGGTGGTAAAACCTCAGTCGACTCGTCGTCCGAGCACTCCGATGACCACGAATCAAATGCTTCAGATTCACTGGCTGTGCGCAACCCCGTGGCGCAGAGCTTGAGTCTGTACAAACGAACAAACTCAACTCTGTTGCACAGTGTTCATTGTAGGGGCTCGTCAGCCCGCGTTGCCCCGGGGTCCGAGTTTCAAACCTCGAAACAGGCAACACAACATCAAATCCCGCTCTCTCTCCCTTCCCTGTTCCTGTTGCTTCTCCTTCTCGTGTCCCTGTTCCTTTCCTGTGTTTTGGATGGGCTTCCGCAGAAAAAGGGGATGTGGCCGAGGGGGGGAAAAAGTGCCTGAATTTACAGCGCCGTCAGCCTTCTGCTGACCGCTGTGGCACTCCTCTCTTGGTCAAGTTAGGAAAGCAGGTCCCCAGGCACAAATTGGCGCGCGAAAGCCTGTCCCTCCAATTGTCTATCATGGTTGGTACTCTGATAAAGCTTCATGGTTTTTCAGCCTGTGGAAGTCAGCTAAGCAACTGTTTGAGAGACGGTTCTAGGAAAGGGTCGTCCCCCTCCTGTATGTTGTACATTTGTATCAACTCAAAATGTCAGGGCCATCATCATCTACCGCATCGCTGTCCCTCTGTTGTACTGGTGCGCCTCGCAGCGTGTGCCAGACAGGGTTTGCACAATTTTGAACAGATGTTGTCTACGCAGATTCATGTCCAAGGGAGGATTCAAAAGCACAAAACCTGTTTTGTGCCAACCGTTGCGCACCCCCACGACGTGGTAATCAGGCACCGGCTGTACGAGCATCGCGCTCGGAACTCTCTCGTTTCCAACACTCGTCCTGGGAAGATAGCCGTTCGGCGGGCAAAAGCATCACAAAGAGTGCGCTGCGAAGCTGGTGTCGAACTGTTCTGTTGGGTCCATCGCCGTCCTTTAACACTGGCTAACTTGTCTACAGTGCCGCCTAGGCCTGGCATGGCACCCGGATCTGGCCTGGACTCTTTGGACCAGCTGACGTACAGCATCCAACTCCCAGCTGCGAAACTTCTCGCCAAACCTGGCTGCTGTCACAAACGAAAGATTCAGGTCCGTCCAGGAATACGAGCATTTCGCTCATGATGCTGCTCATCTTTGTTCCCGGAAGCAAGCAGAGATCAACATGTCGGCAGTTCCGGTCGACCTCAGGCTTCACGTGCGAGCGAATTGAAGATTGGGCTTCGAAGGCGCAGAGCGGGAAGCGTCAAGCGCTTTGTCCTACTGCATGAGCAAGGGACCTACTGACTGAGGCATCAATGAGATGCGCCAACATTGCCCACACAAAAGTGAAAGCTGCTGCGCTGATTTCGGGAGAAGCAGAGGCAACACCCGCAAAAGCGATGAAAACAAGACATTATGTGGTCATGAGAAGATGCCAAAGGCTGCAATTTTCTTGGCTCTCAGCATGGCATGCAGCCGCACCTGCCATGGCAGCCCATCGTGCATGTGCACAAAGCCAGCTCGAGAACTCCAGACAATTCGAGCGAACCCATGGCAAATGCAGCAAGAGGCTTTAACCGAGGTCTGGAGAACACCCAATCTTGCAGGGTGCTGGCAGCATGCAATCTCTGACTAGCTCGCTCGACTTCCCTGCATCGTAACACAGGGGCCGTGCTCTTCCCCAGCTCTTTAGACCAGCTCGTTAGGTGCGCACACTTGCTTGCGAAACGGACAAGCCGCAGAGGACTGGAAACCCGGCAAATGATGATGCATCAACCTTATTGTTGCGCTACCTGTCTCCAAACCGTTGCGGTAAGGATGCCAGGTTCTCGGGCCACGGAAACGCTGGCGCATCGAACCATCGCAAGCTCCCCTGCCTGGAAGGCGAAGGCTTTCATGTTGAGGGATGAGCAGCTGCGTCGAGGAAAGACTACATATCAAAAGTTTCAGGGAGTTCATATTGTTATTGGATTGAGGGATTCAGGCATGGCAGTGTCTTTACTTCTCATATGGCTCTTCAGGGAGCACAGCCCCACAGTTTCGAGAATGTTGGGTCCACGGTGTAACCGCGCAAGGTGTGTTAACCAGTCATGCTTTCTTGTTGCCACGATGAGAAACAATGCTGCTAACATGACAAGCGGTCTGTCTCTCTCTCTCTCTCTCTCTCTTTCGCTCTTTCTCTCTCGCTCTCTGCCGTTGCATCCAGAGGGTCTAAAAGCGCCAGGCAACGCGTGAGGCTCAGCCCTTCAGGCCCCTGACGAGCAGTAGGCCACGCTCTGCTTTTTGGGCCGCTGCCATGTTCCAAGCTTCACGTCGTCTATTAACGGCTCAAGAAGGTAGTCTCTTTACCGCTCTCCGGGGCTGGGGCTGTAGGTTTCTCAGGCTACTACACACTCCAGAAAGTAGTCGGTTTGTGAGCGCTGTTTACCGACCAGCAGGCCCCGAGAGAAACCGAGCCAGCCACATCCCAACTCTACCCCACCACTTGAGGGATAGACTCGGATAGACCTTCTATTGCCTGTATGTCAATGCATAACAAATGCTTTTGTCATTGTTAACCTGTACCACGGTCCACGAGTTTCAGCTTCTGCGAGAAAACCTGAAGCCGAGTGACCCCGAGGCAGGTCGCCGACGAGCCAAGCGCTCGGCTCATGGCGGAGAGGGCCTGGGTTGTGGTGCTTGACGACATTCACTTTGCAGCTGCTCTTTCAAACCGTCGGACAGTGCTGGATCTCTAGGATGGACGTCACTGCCAACTGAGGCCGAAGGGATGCAAAGAGGAGTCAGACTCACATCCGGTCCGGTCCGGCAAAAACAGTTCTTTTTGACGCTGGAAACATGAGACTTGAAGGCGCTCAATGAGCTTCGCAAGCTACCGTCCCACATGAAGATGCATCCCTTGACCGCCTTCGACCCACAGCCAAAAAAGCAATGGCACCCGACACGTCTTGAATATTCTTGCATCATCAGAAGAAAAGGGCTTAACACGACATACATCTGTCAGGCGCCGAACACTAGCCGTACCACACCAGAGTCGCCTTTGGCTGTCTGCCTCGCTGTGACGGCTAGTTTCTATGGGCCCCGGCATAGCGCTGGCACTGCACCTGCGTTCGCAAGCCCTAGGCTATGCTCGCAGATTCAAGGCAGCCCTCGGTTGGAGAGGATCAAAGCCGCTCAGAGTTCTGCTATCGAAGACAAATGCGCAATGCGTAAATGACCCATTCGCACCTGGCTCCAGGCTGCGGTCTCCTCTGTGGCGCCAGAGGCCCGCAAACAGAAGCGAACCTCGGGGGTGCGTCAGCAAGACATACCGACTTCGAGGTTCGGGGCTAGGCCGCTAGGTGCTGAAGGGAAGCACGTGAAATATCATGTCTCACATGCTTGCGCATGAACTTTCACACATCGGCTGCGTTAGACTGCGAACATTTTGGGGGAGCCCTGGCCTCGGGGACGCTGCTGGGAAGCAACAGAACGCGTTAACATACAAGGCACTCTCAACTGGAAGAACAATCCAACGCTCGAAGGTGTAACAGTGCGCACATGAGATGTGTCGTCTGTCATCCTTGCTGTCGTTTTCGGGTCTTGAGTCTCTCCGACTCTGCAACGACACTTATTTCCCGGCATGCGCATATGCACGCATTCGCCGTGGTGTACCGCCTTGTTGTCGGTTGGAACATCGAAACAATGGACCTGTGGCAGGTGTTCACCTCTATCCAGGAGAGCCTGAAACTGTGTGATTACCACGCCTTCACTATGACTTGACAGAGATCACAAGCTTCTCTCTCCCTGTACAAGGGGAGTTCACAAGTTCAACTTGCAACCTGCCACTGCTGAGGATGCTGCGGCCCGCAGCAAGCAAATCCTGCAGTGCACGAGAAAATCTCTCTCTCTCTCTCTCTCTCTCTCTCAGAACAGCGCGGGCTGAGCCTGAATTCGAAATTAAACATCTTAAAGTCATTGCCCACCTCCTCCGCTCTCCTAGCTCCTACCCTCAGCCCGATTCTCGGAAAAGAAAAGAACCGGGGAACAGCAAAAAAACGACGATCAGGCCGAGGGCTGTGCATGTAAGATCCGTCTCCGGCGACCGGCACCGGACAAAACTCTACCCAACCTGGCGAGAGTGGCCGAGGGTCCTCGGGATGATCTTGCCGCAGGGTACTTAGGGTTTCGAGGCATAGAATAATCTACGCTACATTTGGGGGGGAATGTTAGCTTCATGCAACTTCCACTTCGTTCCTTTCGACCGCACTGTCAGTCGTTGGGCTTTCACTGGCTCGCACAAGCAGTCTTCTGACTTGGAAGCTTCGGCTGCTCATGTGCAGAGGAAGCGGCACCCTGGCCACTGATCGGAAAAAACACAAAGAAGAACTTCATACACGGGATGTTAAGCAACAGCTCGCATCTCTGAGTGCAGCCAGCTCAGCCCAAGGCCACTCGGCTCGACACCAAAGTCTGCAGCCAGGGGCTGCTTCTTCAGCATCTGACGTCAATTGGTTGTGAGATGTTGCGAGCACGAGTGCGCAGTTCGGTTAAGGCATTGCAAAAAAGCCCAGGACCCTGCCGGAAGCAGCGTGCTGTACAAAAGCTGCGGGCCATTTGAAGTTTGTGGCCGCACCTAGGCCAGAAGCAGTTCGGTGCGATTTGAAACACAATGGGACAAGTACGTAGCCACCAACGCCTTGCGTGTTGGGTAGACACTTGCAGGGGCGTCATAAACAAACTTCTTGCAGTCGGGATCTGCTTCGATTGGGAGCACATACGACGACTGGCAAAAATCCTGGCTGTCCCCTCTTATCTATCAGAGGTTGTACGAACTGAGGCACTGACAAACTGCCGGAAGAGAAGATACCAAAACCTTCACGACTGCAGCAGTAAGTCTTGCTTATCAGAATGCTGGCATTCCGGGTGTGGTTCCCTGGTTCCCTTCTGTCTACAAGGACAGCGAGTTGTCGCTTCGAACAGCCTGTGGACTGCCCGCCTGTGCAGTGCCGGTACCAAGGAGAAAGAGTGCTCGCAGCAATGCCCATCAGCTATTATCATTGCAATCAACCACAGGCTACTCATCACTAAACAAGCAGTTGGCCCCCGGCGTTCCGCAGGTGATACGCTTGGCAGGAACATCTGTCAAGACCTGGCAATCGCGGCTAATCCTAGCCCCTGAGCCTGACCGTCCTGCTTCGACCCCCTAGGCATACAGGTCGTAACAAGAGCTGAGTCCAATGAGTCTCAGTCTGTTACTTTACTTCCAACAGTTGCTATCTGCAGCTGTTATAACGCGAAACTGAGCACGGTGTGCGAGGGGGCACTGCCGCGTGGCGAGCTCGGGACTCGGTGCCTCCCAGGAACTGTGCAGAAACTCGACGGAAGTATTCAAATCTGTTCAACTATTCGGCTTCCTTTCTCATGGGAACTGCGGCGGGCCTCGATTCAAGCCTTTGACATCGAGATTAGCATTCGAGCATCAGAGACAGCCGCCTCTCCGCTGGCACGGAGTGGATGATACCTCAGCCGGAAACGAAAAGACTGCCCTCACTTGGTCTGTAGATTCACTGTAGATGCTCGCGAATTTGCCAACCACGTAACAACATTTAACAACTCCGTGGTCACAGCCGTAGCACGACAGGCTAACGAAATATGAAACCAACAGCACGACTGCCTGAGCCAGGACCCCGGCTGCAAGCCGTCGCCGGTGTTAACGACAGCAACAGTGAAGTTCTCGTCGGTGAGGTGCCGGACCTCGAGTGAGCATGCGCTAGCTGGCTGGAACTTCCGGTTCACGGACTCAAGATTGGGGATGCTCAGAATCCCTTGGAGTCTGTTGCTCTTCAACCTCAATGCCAGTCAGTGAAGCCCACATGCTGAGAAGAAACTCCACCTCCATCCTCCGACGATCTCCAATCCGACGCCGTGCCGAAAGGCCAACCAAAACCACCCCGGATGGGGGACCGGGCAAGGATGAGGAGCATGCAGTGTCCGCCGTCTTCAGCCTCTGCCTGGAGGAAAAAGAATCTTAGAACCGCCAGCAACGATCTCTTGCTGGTTCCTTCTGGCCTGTTGTTGGCGGACGGTGGACAGCATTTTCAGAGCTGGCAGGAATACATCACGCATCAGCGAATATACACATGCATATACATACAATGCATGCTCTATCTATCTATATCCATCCATCCATCCATCCATCCATCCACCTATCTATGGGTATAGACAGATAAATAGATAGAGGCCACGTGCAGCATGCCTTCTCAGCCCACGAGGAGCGCTTTCGCCATCCTGTGGGCCTCAGCGCTCGGAGTTCTTGGGGCTCCTGTTTTCGAACCGGGAGTCAGGCCGTCGGGGAGTACGTCCTCAGAGGTTTTTGGTACTGTGCTAGTACTGTGTCGTATACTGTCCTCCGACCCCGTCAAGCTGCGCATGTACGGGATTAGTGTGTGAGTGTGTGTCAACACGACAATGCCGTCAAGTCTCGGCAACTAGCCGTGCCATGCTGGCAGTCGCGTGCGTGCATGTGAAGAGCAGAAAACTGTCATGGCTCCAAAACCTGGAAAGCTGTCGCCAAGCTGTCGTTGTTCTGCTGCTTGGGGCTGCTGCACCCAGGCCAAACCGCCTGGAGGCAGCTCCTGCAAACCAGGATGGAGAGTTTGAGTTGATGTCGTCTTCGCACAATCCAGAAGTTCGAAAGTCGGAAGCCTTGAGCTGTGCGACCAGGTGCACCAAGAGGGGCAGCATCCTCCGACTTCGAGGCTGGAGCGCTCGATGACTTATCTTGCAGGGCTAAATTCAGCATTGACATCCCTGTTTCCATCTTCCCGACACGGCTGTAGATCGTAGTCCCAGTCGTTTACACTTTAAGTCTCAGCTCCCCACTTTTTCTGCACCTCCCGCGGGTCCTGGCATACACGCACGGAGGAGCAGCGGTTCGAGTGCATTTCCAACAACTGCTTTACTCAAGCGGCCGCAGCCGCAGCCCCATTCACTTACACCAACTCGCTCGGCACATCGAGCAATGCCACAGCTGAAAGCAAACACCTAGCTTCCGATCAGCCAATGCCGATGATGTTGAACCCGCCCAAGCTTTCTTGGCCGAAAGTCATCACTTGCGGGAGAAGAGCCGCTGGGCCGACGACCCGACCCAGAGCCCCATGTTTGCAAGCCTCGCCTCCGAACCCTCTCTTTTCGCACTTCTTGGCGAAGTCTCCATGTCAGCACTAAAGTGCCCGCCGCCAGGCACCAATTAGCAGATGATCAGTGCAAGCAGTCTGTCACGCCTTTCCCTGAGATGTGTCTAGTGCCCAATCATAGGGGGTTTAAACGCAAGCGCATTAGCCAAAAGAGCCTCATTGCGAATGATACCTTATGACTCGGTTATGATATGTCGAGTTTCGGTCGCGCAGCCTAGCCTGCGTGAAGACTGCAACAACACTCGCGAGTCACGAGTTCTTCTTGTCGCCCTTCACGTCCGTCACCTTCATGCGCATCGCACTAGGAGAAGAAGGTTGGGTTGGATTACCCCGTTATCAAACAAGCGTTCGGTGCACTCAGAGGGATCCCAAAAGACTGGGTCAAAACTGAAACTTTCTAATCTTCCTCCACACACCGTTCACGTGTTCCCCAAGCTTGCACCTTAGGGTTGTGTAAACATGGCGGCTGTCTACATCCTGCGACTCGCAGATCCCACCCGACCCAAGATCCACGTGAACCGTTCTGCCAGGTCGCCTTGCTGGACTTGCAGCACCGACAGCATGCAAGAAAGCACCTTTGCATCGGAGGGACTGAGACCTCACGTTTCTGCCTACCTCCAGTCCGGACAAACAGAAACCGCTCAAGTAGCTAAGTCAGCTGAGCGCGGCCAAAAAAGCCCACCGTCCTCTCCGGGACCCTGCCTTGCGAGCAGCATGAGAAGCATCAGCGCCAGCAAGATCAAAGGCCTCGGCCATGTCACGACAAACAGGCGTAAGCGTAGGCCCAACATGGGAGATCGCCTCCTGATAGCTTTGCCAGGAACGGTGCGACTACATGCACTCTCAACAGCAGAACTGGTTGCATCTGAACATCTGCTAAAGACCCAAGACATCCCGGGAACCTTCATCGTCAACCACGGAGGACCAAAGCCTCAAAGCCAGATGCCCCAAGCTTCTGCGGCAAGGCCACGCCAGGAGTTGAGGCAGCCAAACTTGCAGCGGATGTTCCGCGTCGAACTTCAGCGTCTTCAGGAGCGACCGGATGCCTCATCTCCAAAGGCACCAAAGCCCAAACCCTCCAACCCGCAGCACCTCCCAATTTCGGAGACATCCCAGCTCCCCTTTGGAGCGTCGAAGCCAAACATGACTTTGCCTCATCACGTTTCTCGGTCCCTTTGCTAAAGCCCAAATCCCGAGACCCGCGAACCTAGCTTTCCGAGAACTCTCTGGTTATCTGATCGCTGCCAAAGCGCCGAACTTGTAGAGACCTCGCTTGGCAGTGCTTGTGTGGGGTCCGGTCCGGATTCGTTTTGTGCTGCCAGAAGCACGATGCGGACTTCGTCCTTGCTAAGTAGGGTGGGACAGTATGCGGGTGAACCAAGATTACATTTGATTCTCTTTTCTCGCACTTCTGCTCTTAGTCTGCCAGCTGCTGAGCTACTGCACAGGTCGAGAAGCACAAGGTGCAATAAGCTCTGGGGCTTGCGCTGCGCAGCCAGTAGTAGTTCCTGAAGAGGTACCCAACCTGGGCCACAAATCCCAAGCATCAACCAGGAAGCCCCCCAAACACCTTGCTCGGATACACGTGTTATATCGTGTTAAATTCAGGGCCTGAGCAACCCTGGCAACTCTCCGGGAACCCCCGAAGATGAAAGGGTCAGACGAATGCTTTAATTACGAGACTGTATGTCACACCCGAGCAGCCGGAAGGACCATGGTGTCAAACGTTCGCATGAAGTCGAAAACGTCATCGTGATCCCAGCCCCACTGTCGGAACCGAGGCTGCCTCAGCTGTCGGTGGCAGCTTGGTCTGTACGAAACCATGTCATGGCCTCCTCTGTGAGGGAAACAGGGTGTCTCGCGGGGGCTGATGTTCCCCCATGTGAGGTGAAAGTTAGATGGCTGATATCGGCTCATTCTGCAGGCATGTTCAAGACTTCTCTAAATCAACATTAACAGCCCGTTGCACCACTCTAAGCGCACTTGAGCTGCCCGTTTGCGAAGAGCATGAGGCACGGGACAAGCTTTGCATCAAAGCCATCCATGAGTGAATCGTCCCTCGGCGACAGGGATGTTCAGGACCCCAGAACTATAGTTGGTGTTCGGAGGTTGCTTTGCAAAGGCTCAGGGGATGCCAAACTTGCGACCCGCCACACAGAGCCAGTTTCTGCCTCTCATCACGGGCCGGGCTACGGGCTGGTACTAGTCAGTCGACATCCTGAACCTAATTCCGGCAACGCTTTCAGCTTCCATTCCACCACCCGACCGTGCCCGGCCCAGGGTTCTCGAAAGTACCGTTTGGGTCTCGCTCGCTCTGTCTCTCTCTCTCTGTCTCTCGTTCTTTTCTCCGTCAACACGGCCAAAGTCAAGCGAGCAATGAAAGCCCTCGCACCCCTGCACAATTTCACGCACCGGGACCCCAGTTTCGAAACGGCTAGCCGGGTGTTAGCGGCTAGCAGAGCTCTGCTCTCTTGCATTCTTTCTTAAGCCTACCCCGTTTACACTTGCGAGTCCAAGAACAGATTGATTTTCCGAGCCAGACTAAGACATTACGAACCAACCAGGAGTCTGTGTAGCTGCAAGTCGGACAGTGGAGCCCAGCGCTTGAAGCTCCTTCGCTGCAAGCCTCGACTGAGGCATACCACGGCTAAGCGTCACAGCACATCTCGGAGCACGTCCAACCGCAGGTTTAGGCCCTCGAACTACGGACTCCTTCCATTTAACTGAGAAGATTTAGGAGCGGACACGTTGAGGTTGAGACTTCTCGCTGGGTTTTCTGGCCACCAGATTATGACTGCTCCTACTGTTGTTACAGCAGTAAATTGAGGCGTGTTGAAGCAAAAGTCTGGCCCACAAGTTTGAGAGAATCTGAACAACTATGGCACTGATTTTATGAGGGTCTTGTACTTCATGACATGATTTTGACTTGAGCATCTGGGGCTGGGGGGGTGAACATGGGCATGATCATCCCTATGCCGGGAATATGGGTTCGGCTGACGGTGTGAATCCTTAACCTAGTACTAGTCCCACTTCTACAAGTACTAGCAAGCAGTACTAGTAGCTAGTAGTAGTACTAATTCAATACTACTAGTATGACTACTAGTACTAGTACGTAAGGAGAGGGGCCGTTTGACGAAGGTTCGGGATACGGGGCGGGGTTCGGCGAAGCTTGGCGGAGTGCTACTGATACTGGCTGTTCCGCCATAGCGCTGCCCCTGTCTATTTGGCCCTGATTGTAGTTCCTTTCGCGCGACACGAGGTGCCCCAGACGCCTAAACCTCGGAACTGCAGCTTTTTGTTACCCACATGGCACGCCAATGACAGCTCCGCGGGGACTTAATGGTAAGTAGTCGCAATGGAGCCAAGCAATCACAACAGCAACAACTGTGGCATGGACCATAGACCCAGCACAGCACCACCATCAGCAGCAAGAGAACGGCATGAGAAAAGTGGAAGCTAAGGTACCGTATCAGGACGGACAGGCCACCCTGCTCGTACCTTTACGTAGGCAGGACATGAACAGGCAAGGTACTGGCAACCTGCAGCAGTGGCGCTTGATATTGACAATGCATGTACCTACCTGCTGTGAGTTCCTCGTCCCTGTTGTCTCATTGGTCGCTAAACGTAGTCTGAAAGTAGTTATTAGACAAAAATTTAATATGTAGGAACTTCCGGGTTTGATGCCAAGGACGTCAAGGCTTCATACCCTCAGCAATTCCGCTGTGGGTCCCTATCTATGCAGACCGCAAGGAACCCTGAGCTTGATCAACCACGCGGCTCGAAACCCGGCTTGAGTCTCTTACCTCGGAGATTCGGCGAGGTGTAGTTCTTCAGATAAGCATCTAGCCCTCAAAACGCTTGCTCCGAGCCGGTTAGGGCTTGAAGTTGTCGGGCGATGACTTCCAGAACCCAGTGCAACTTCCGATCGAGGTTCTACTTGCGAACAGCCTGTTCTGCTCTTCTGCATAGTCTTGCGATCGATCTCTGATGTCTGTGTTTTCAACCGTCCATTACATCTTTCGATATTCTTACACAATGTTCAGGAGTTCGAGGTGGATCATCACTTCCCTCTCTCTGCCAAGTCTAGTATGAACGCTAGCGGAGTGGAGGAAGGACATGGTGCAAGGCATAATGTCGAGTCTTGGTTGTCTCGAGTTTTCTTAATCATTGCAACTGCCATAGTAGCACTCACCTAGGGGCCGACATTCGGGCGCAGGCGTTTAGTGACTGTTGTCAATCCTGAACGAAAATTGGGGGCCTGTGTTTGCAGGAGGAGCCAACAGCAAATCAGGTCTTCAGTTAAGCTGCAATGCCTGCAAGCCGGGCGGTGGTATGAGGAAGCATTCATTGCTGAAAGCAAAACAGTAACAGGTTGGATGGCCTTCAAGCATGCCAAAGAGGTCAGATACAAGCCCATGGCCACGTCTCGCTTGCTCTCCCCTTAAAAGCCGGCAAGTCGCAGTAACCGCACCATTCCTTGTAGAACTTGACCATAACAATCTGAGCGACAGAAGCCGAAGTGCTAGTACCGCCAGCATGTTCAGCCGGTGCGACGTTGCAGGCGGACAGCGGACAACAAGAGAAGTCGATATATCGAGACTTCAGACAAGCATAAAGCTTATTGATCTCATCGCGCGACATGAATGACGCTTGGGTGAGGCTGAGTTTCTATAGGTGTGTGCATATGTGTACATCTGTGTGTGTGTCTGTGTGTTTGTACCTATATATATATATATATATATATGTGTGTGTGTATACATATACATATACATATACATATACATATACATATACACATACACATACATATACATAAAAACATATATACATGTGTATATATATATATATACATATACACGACAGATACATATTTTTATATGTATAGATGCATATCTTGAGTGTGTGACAGTGTGGGTGTGTACATGTGCATCTATGTGTATGTGTATGTGTGTGTGTGTGCGTGTGTGTATATATGTATCTCTCTACAGATTGGCAAACATACGGACATACATACAGACAGACAGACACGCACATGCACATATATCTGAATGTATGCACATATGCATCCATCCATCAATCCATCCATCCGTCCATCCATGCATGCATGTATGCACAAACATGTTCTAGGTGTATACAAAAATAAATAAATAAGTAAATATATATATATATATATGGTCATATATACGCACACACGTGTGTGTCTGTGTGTGTCTGTGTGTGTGTGTGTGTGTCTGTGTGTGTCTGTGTGTGTGTGTGTGTGTGTCTGTGTGTCTGTGTGTCTGTGTGTCTGTGTGTCTGTGTGTCTGTGTGTCTGTGTGTCTGTGTGTCTGTGTGTCTGTGTGTCTGTGTGTCTGTGTGTCTGTGTGTCTGTGTGTCTGTCTGTGTGTGTCAGTGTGTCTGTCTGTGTGTGTGTCTGTGTGTCTGTCTGTGTATCTGTCTGTGTGTCTGTCTGTGTGTCTGTCTGTGTGTGTGGGTCTGTGTGTGTGGGTCTGTGTGTCTGTCTGTGTGGGTCTGTGTGTCTGTGTGTGTGGGTCTGTGTGTGTGGGTCTGTGGGTCTGTGTGCGTGGGTCCGTCTGTGTGTCTGTGTGTGTGGGTCTGTGTGTGTGTGTGTGTGGGTCTGTGTGTGTGGGTCTGTGTGGGTCTGTGTGTGTGTGTGTGGGTCTGTGTGTGTGTGTGTGTGTCCGTGTGTGTGTGTGCGTGTGTGTGTGTGTGTGTGTGTGTGTGTGTGTGTGTGTGTGTGTGTGTGTGTGTGTGTGTGTGTGTGTGTGTGTGTGTGTGTGTGTGTGTCTGTGTG